TGAAAAGGAAAATCAGAAAAGAAGCTCTTAAAAATCCTCTGATAAGTTCTCGGGAGCTGGTTACCATGGCCCAATCAACGTCTGGAGTTCAGATTACTAGCAGAGCAATTAGAGATGACCTGAATTCTGAAGTGCTCCATGGTAGAGTTCCAAGAAAGAAGCCATACATCAGTGAAATGAATCGCAAAAAGCGCCTTGCTTTTGCTAGGGAGTACGTACAGAAACCTTTAAGCTTTTGGGAAAATGTCATATTTTCTGACGAAAGCAAATTTTATTTATTTGGTTCAGATGGTCGAAGGACGACATGGCGACATCGTAATGAAGCCCTAAAGAAGCAAAATGTTTTAACAACTGTAAAGCATGGTGGAGGACATGTTATGGTTTGGGGTGTGTTTCCTACCATGGCGTAGGAAATCTTGGGAGCATCGAAGGCATTTTAAATGCGGAAGGCTATGAGAACATTTTGCGTAATTTGCGTGTTAGTGCCGAAAAAATGGGAATTCAGGATCAGTACTATTTCCAGCAGGACAGCGATCCAAAACATACTGCGAGGAGAACAGAGGAGTGGTTAATATTTAATGTTCCAAGACAGCTCCACACTCCTCCTCAGTCACCAGATATAAATATCATTGAAAATTTATAGCACACCCTTGCCCAAAATGTAAGAAAACACCATATCACTAGTGGATATCACCTTAAACAACTTCTTGTTCAAGAATGGGAACAAATAAACGTAAATATTCACTTTTATCTACTTAAAGAAAGTGTCGTGAATCCAATTGAGTTCTAGAAGCTACGTTAGTGTAAACGTCTACTAATCCTTACAGCATTAGACAACACTGTTTACTGCTTTCATCAAAACAACTCTCTCCCGGTATTTATTTATATCCTAATAGTACTATTTTAATTAAATATGGTGCAGTGCAATATTTGCAATAACACTATTGCACGTGAAGACAAAAACAATCTTTGTTGTGTAAAATGCAAAATTATTTTCACGGTCGGTGTCTTAATCTAAGTGAAAAAGAAATTGAAGCCTTAAAAACACACAAAAAACATGGGTATGCCCTAATTGTGACCAGACCAAAAAACCTAACACTGAGCCGTCCGCCTCAGAAATACTGGCGGCAGTAAATCGCTTAGACTCGAGTGTCAATGAAGGCATAAAAGACATAAAAACAACCCTAGATAAATATGGAGAGCTCAATTTTGAGCTTAATGAAAAATTATCGAAAATTGAGAAACACCTCGAAAGTCAAGCCCGTCATTTCGAAAAAATTATCCTGGAAAATAAAGCCCTCAAATCTCGAGTGGGCGAATTGGAGGTTCGCCTGAATAATGCAGAGCAGGGCTTGTTATCCAGATCACTGGAGATCCGAGGGATACCGGAGTGAACTGGTGAAACGCCCGCCGCTTTGGTGACCAGCATTGGAGCAAGTTTGGGCATCAGGCTTAGTACAGATGACTTGGACATAGTACATCGCCGCAGAAGTAGAAAAGATGATCCACGACAAACAGTCAGTCAGAGACGACTTAATAAAGAAGAGGAAAGTCAAGAGGGACCTCAGTACTCGGGATATCGGCTGGCAGGAGAATGACTGTCACCGGATATATCTGAGTGAGGAAATGACACCCACGAACAGACACTTATATTGGCTTGCCCGACAGAAGAGAGCTGCGGGGAAAATCAAATATACGTGGTTAGCCGCCGGAAAGGTGCGATGTCGGAAGGAGGACGGGCATAAAGTTATTCTGATTGAACAGGCCTCGGACCTCGATATATTTGCCTGACCACGAAGAATTCGTCTATTCCTCATCCTCATTAAAATAACTTTGAACTCAACTATCTACAAAGGAACATTTTCACTTCTGCGCATAGAGATATCTCTTCACACTTACACACTTACACACTAATTTATATTTTATTGACCATATGTGTTTTATTATTTTTTTTTGTTTCAGCTTACACTTTCTTTTCTGATATTTTCATTAATTGTAAACGCCTTTTCGTATTTTCTATTTGTTTTAGAGTTTCTCTACCCAACTCTGACTGTTTCCCTCCCAATTCCTCTCATGTCTAGTACCCTAATCACCTGCCATGTTAACTCTCAATCCCTCCCTGCCCACTATGACGAGTTCCTGCAATATTTCACTCAAAACCATTTATCATATTATCGCGATCTCTGAAACTTGGCTTAAACCTTACATCCCATCCTCTTCTGTTTCCTTGCCTAATCACACCCTCCTCCGTCATGACCGGGTAAGCCGGAATGGCGGAGGAGTAGCCATGTTTGTCCATAATAGCCTGAAGACTCGAATCATCGATTCCTCACCACCATCCGATCATCCTCAAGTTGAATATCTTCTAGTAGAAATCCATTGTAAGGATCTTCCTCTCCTTTACACTGTGGTATATCGTCCTCCCCATGTACCATTTGATCAGTCCTTAGAATCAACCCTATTCAACTTCGTTCCTCTATATCCCAGAATAATCATCTCCGGTGACCTCAATACCAATTTCCTCTCTAACTCCAATGACAAATCCTATCTAGAAAACCTAATTTTCTCTCTGCACCTCTTCATCGTTCCATTTTTCCCCACCCACCACACCAGCAGGTCCGACACTTGGCTAGACTTCTACATTATAGACTCTGCACAAAATCTCCTCTCCAGCAGAAACACACCTCATTTTAAAGAAGAACTCAATGTATTTTTTATTATTTTATTTTTCAAAAGAGTATAATTATAATTTTTCCTACTGTACATAGTCTTAAGTGTTTTATCATAGTTTAAAGTGTTTTGTATATAGATTTTTTTTTTTTTTTTTTTGTATATAGCTTGTTTAACTAATATTTTCTTTACTTTCTCTTTATTATTGTTTTATTTTGGCCAGATGTAGTATTTTAATTATGTTCTATTTTGTTATTCTAAAGGGGCTTTGTCCCAGAATAAAGTTATTTTCTATTATTATTATTAAATTTAATCTTATTATCACTACCCCCACCGGCATTTCATCCGAAAGAAATTTACAAAGAAATCAACAGACTACCAAACAAAAAAGCTCCTGGCTATGATCTAATCACTCCCTTCATTCTTCGACACCTACCTCGAAAAGCTGTTTTGTTTCTTACACATATCTATAACTCCATTTTACGCACTACCTATTTTCCTCTCCTTTGGAAACTCTCCACAATCAAAATGATTGCCAAACCTTCAAAACCTACCACTTCTCCTTCATCCTATCGTCCTATAGCACTTCTTCCAATAATGGGCAAACTATTTGAAAAACTATTACTAAACCGACTGAAGCCTATTCTAGAATATAGTGAAGTGATACCAAATCACCAGTTTGGCTTTCGCTGTTATCACTCTACTGTGCAACAGTGCCATCGGATAGTAGATACTATCTCAGTGACTTTCGAAAAAAAGGAATATTGCTCTGCCGTCTTTCTCGACATAGAGAAAGCATTTGATAGTGTCTGGCACAAGGGCCTATTATGGAAACTAAAACCGCACTTACCTTCCACTTATTTTTTAATTCTTCAATCCTACTTTCTTAATAGATTTTTCTGTATCTTCCTTCTTTCTCCAACACAAAGGCGTACCACAAGGTAGCGTCTTGAGCCCAATCCTCTATTCTATATACACTTCTGATATCCCTGAGCACCCTAATACCACCATTTATTGCTTCGCTGACGACAATGCTATTCTATCTTCACACAAAAATCCTACTATCGCATCAATTGCCCAACAAAACCATCTTCATTCTCTTGAAAAGTGGTTTGAAAACTGGAGAATCAAAATTAATAGTACAAAATCCACCCACATTAGTTTCTCTCTTAGGAAAGCCTCATGTCCACCCATAACGATTGCCAATAATCCAGTGCCTTCAAAGAACTATGTACGGTACCTTGGACTCTACTTAGACAAAAGGCTTACTTGGAACATACATACGAAATTAAAAATACAAGAACTTACTAGACGATATAGCCAACTTTCACATCTTCTGGACTACAGATCTTCACTTAACTTACGAAACAAGCGACTTATCTACAACACCTTACTGAGACCAATATGGACATATGGAGCAGAACTTTGGGGTTCAGCAAAACAAACACACATAAACAAAATACAAACAGCACAATCAAAAATTATACGAAAAATTGTTAACGCACCTTGGTACATTTCAAACACTACTATACATAACGACTTAAACATCCGAACAGTAAAATCCTACATCCACGACAAATACACTACATTTCATTCTTCAACCCAAAATCACTCCAATCCTCTTGTTCTTTCTATCTCCTGCTCCCTGTTACCTGAGCAACGAAGATTAAGAAGAAAATGGCCAAGAGACCTACTACATCAATAAAAAAAAAAATCAAGCAATTACACCAAGACAATAAAAATACAACAAATTTGCTAGATGCGCAGCTGCGCAGGTGCAAATTGCATAAAATAAAATAAATAAAAAAAAAAAAATTTAATTAAAAACCTAGTGCATTCAATGTCTACAAGCAATCATTGAGGCAAATGGCCTATTTACAAAATATTACAACTATTAAAATTTAAAATAAACTTGTAAATGTGGAAGTGTGCAAATACTTTTTTCCAAGCACTTTTATTGTTTTAATTATTTTGTTTGATTATGAAGTGTTTTTATTTTTTTGAAAAAAGGTTTTTTCAGTTTTTAATAATTTCATTTTTGCAAAGGAAAGCGAAGTTTTTTGTTTCCTTGAACTACTTTATTCATAAAAACGTGTTGTGCAAATACTTTTTTCCATCACTGTACATCTGAGAAACGAACTGCTGCTGGTATTGTTGCAAGTAACCCTTCTGATTTAGTTGCACACAGCTTGACGAAGGCAACAGCCAAAGCTGTTGTTAATGGTTCAGAGGTTTGTGTGTTGATTTACACTGGAAGCTCTGCCAGTTTCATTAGCGAAAAATCCACCTTTACGTACCTGAAGATTAAGCCATTCAATGAGAAAATTTCAATGGCATCTACTTTTCTCTGTCCTAGGAGTTGTGACCAATATGTAGTTGACATTAACATGTTAGGTTACTATTATAAAGATGTTAGACTGTCTGTCCTTCCTGACCTATGCGCTGATGTGGTCATTGGTCATGATATACTCAAGCAGCATGGAAGTGTGAACCTGTCCTTTGGCGGCCCCAAAGCAACGCTCACTGTATGTGGTCTCGCTGTAGCAAATGTTCCACCCACGCCACTCTTTAAATATCTTTCACCGAATTGTAAACCAGTAGCGATAAAATCACGTCAAGAAACTAAAACTGATTCACAATTTGTAGAAGCTGAGATCGAACGCCTCCTAACTGACGAGATGGTTAAACCGAGTATATCTCCTTGGAAAGGAGAATACTCAAATACTCGTTACCTCAAGGAACAATCATAAAAGGCGAATGGTGATTGATTACTCTCGCACTATAAAATGTCATACCCTCCTGGGCGTATATCCACTTCCTCGAATAGAGTACTTAGTAAATAAGATCGCCCATTACGAAGCATTTAATACCATCGACCTAGGTAACGCTTATCTTCAAATTCCTATAAAAGACGGAGATAAACCCTATACTGCTTTTGAAGCGTGTGGTCGCATTTTCCAGTTCAAAAGAATTCCATTTGGGGTAACCGATGGTGTTTCCACATTCCAAAGAGTGACGGATCAAATAATTCGCAAAGAGGACTTGAAGGATACATTTTCATATATTGACAATGTCACTGTCTGAGGAAGAAATCAAAGAGATTTTACGCAAATCTGTAAAAAAAATGTGGATGTTGCTCAAAAGCACAAGTCTAACGATGAACAATGAAAAGAGCGCCTTTTCTTTAAGATCTATCAAGCTTCTTGGATATTTAGTAAGTAACAAGAGTATTCAACCTGACCCCGATAGGCTAAAACCTCTCCGACATCTGCAACCTCCAACGGTCACGTCTTCATTGAGGAGAGTCTTTGCCATGTTTGCCCATTACTCGACCCACATAAAAGAATTCTCTAAGAAAATACTGGCTCTAACGAGCTGTACATTTCCCTTGACAAAAGACGCATTACGTGCAATCGGCAACAACAATAGACCAAGTAAAGAAAATGCAGTAGCCGATGCACTCTCTCGAATCTGTTCAAGTATGGATGATTCTGATAGCCGACTTCAACAATTACATGTTTCTTTGTGTCATCCTGGAACCACGAGAGTGTACCATTGGGTACGTATTTAAAATTTACCTTTTTCTCTAGAGATGATCAAAAGAGTAACCTCATTCTGTGAGATACGTACTGAGATAAAGTATCGATTCTTTAAACATCAAGGGAAATTGGTTAAAGCCACGCCTAAACATCGATTTCAAATGACCTCTTCCAAATTCTAAGGGAAACAAGTACCTTCTAGTGATTGTAGATGAATACTCTCGATTCCCCTTCGCTTTTAATTGTCGAGACATGATGTCATCTTCTGTGATCTCTGCTATAACTCAATTGTTCTACTCGAAATAAAAAAAATTAAAACAACTGCCAACCGACTTAACGCAAAACGGTTGTAAACGCGTATAAATCGCACCTTAATCAAGAATATGGTCCACCTTGTGAACAAAAAGACCTTTAAAGGTATTTAATTTTACAAAATTAATTCAGAGGGATCATTAAATATATGAACTACTACCACCTTCCTTTCCCGACATATAGGGGTGCCGATGACAAATAATGTCTTAAATATATCATACATGTATTACATTAATTTGCTTTAAAAAAGGGACCACCTAAATGTTAATTATAATTTATTTTTATTATCTACAAATTTATTATCTAATTTGGTATTTTTTTTTTAGGTTTCATGAATATCAATATAATTTTAATACTTCTGCTCAGATTGTAATAAATAAAGAGGTATAATATAACGATGAAGACTGGTTTCAGTATTCGGATTAGTTCGTTAAATATTCTTTTATCTTTTTAATACAAAATGAGAAACACGATGGAATATTATGCCCCTCTTTTGGTTAGCTAACTTTTAAAGAAGTTTTTACATTCATACCTCTATGTACAATAACCAGTTTTACATATAATTAAACTATTATTACCATTTTATAATCAATAATTTTTAAAGTAAATTTAATGTTTTCTCGAACATTAGTGCTATTATTGCTTTATGAAGGAAATAATAAATGTTGCTAATAATATTTATTTTGTGATCGAATAGTCCTGTATCGAAGAGGCTTTGGTAAGTTCTTTGCTGTTGGCGTGCAAGAGTTCTTTTTCGGTCGCCTAACCTCTTTGAGGTACGTTGTTAATATCTTTATTTTTCTTTTACATCCATTTATATTTTATCCTTTTTATTCTAATTTAGTTAAAAACTATCTTCTTCTAACATGAATTTCTTTTATTCTCACCAAAATATGCATATTAGTCACAGTATTTCATGTGTTGTTTTCTAGGAGTAACCTTATTGTATCCATTTAGTTTAAAGTTATGCTCTGTGACGTTTTAGTTATGTATTATTGTGTTTGTGATCAGTGATATTTTGTTCCAGGATGAAGCAAATAGTCGTTAATCAAACCGTAAAAATCCCCGATGGGGTTACATGCCATGTGAAGTCCAGGATTGTTACCGTCAAAGGACCAAGAGGTGTCCTGAAGAGGACATTCAGGCATTTGGCCCTGGATATTCATATGGTGAATTCCAAACTGCTTAAAGTTGAAAAATGGTTTGGCACCAAAAAGGAACTTGCTGCAGTTCGAACTGTCTGTTCCCATGTTGAAAACATGATTAAAGGTGTTACAAAGGTATGTATTACAAAATAATAATTACTAAGGACCCAATGAACTTTATTTGTGTGTATTTTGTTTAAAGTAATCTTTAATGTAATAGTCTAGAGAATGGCATAGACACTTACATTAGAACTATGTAATTTAGTCTAATTGGTTTTCATAAAGCTAATGTTAAGTTAGTTTTCGGCCAGCTAACTATAAGTGCGATTAATATTTATGTATAGAAGTTTAGTTCAAATGAGGTACCCAGTAATCTTGTTGATATAGTTAATCAGTTTAATTGTTAATTGAATTAAAGTGATCTGTAGTTATTCAATATTACTGTTAAAATGAGTTATCTGATCAATAATTAATATTAATGGAGCAATAGTTGCTTGCGAAGAGAGGTTATGGCTTACCTATAAGGTTGGGTTATGTTGACTACATTATAAACTTAGTGAGAATGTGATTAATTCTACCATTTACCGGACGATCTCTTATATGTCATATAATTAATAACTTTGTTCTCATTGAAGGTCAGCAAGGTAACTTTTAATTCTCCTCAGTATCAAACAATTTCGTTAGCGAATAAGATGATATTTTTATAGTTATTGACTAGTTCTAATGAGAAGTTGGGGGGTCATAGAAGTTTTGACTGACATAACTTTTGACTATACCCTCCCCTCACTAACTTCATAATTAGTATTTGTAATTTTTGAAGAATTATTAACATATCATTTTTCTACTGATGATTAAGTTAAGGTATATTCATATGATTTGTATGTTACTTTTTTGTTTTTAGGGATTCTTATACAAGATGAGAGCAGTATATGCTCACTTCCCCATCAATTGTGTGATTTCCGAAAGCAATTCTGTAATTGAAATCCGTAACTTCCTTGGCGAGAAGTTTATTAGGAAAGTGAAAATGTCCCCAGGTGTTACTGTTACAAATTCTACAAAACAGAAGGATGAGCTAATTATAGAGGGTAACAATATTGAACTTGTGTCGAGATCAGGTTAGTACATTTAAATTTTTATATTAATTTTAAAACAACAGTATAGAGCTCTTATAGATTCATTTGGACATGAGGTTTTAATGGAAATATAAGCAGAGTATCCCATTTATAATGGAAATAATTGAAGAAATGGTAGTCTATTTTTATTAAAGACAAACTTCATATTTTTGTTAAGAGTTGCCAAAAGAATTTTACCATTATTAAATTGTTATCCTTAATCTTAAACAGTCTGATTTGAAGTTTATTTTACTTTATTTATCAAAAAATTAGATTATTAATCTCATAATCAGTTAGGGTTTGGCACTAAATATCCGTAATTACAACTTTATTAAGCCTGCTTGTTGCGTCCAATCATGAGATGAATAAATATAAAGCCTGTAAGGGATACTCTTTATGTTTTCATTTAGCTTCTTGACTTTTTTTATTTAAAACTTAGTAAGATGGAATTAAGTAATTTTACTTTTACTTAACTTTTCGTAAAATAAATTCGGTGTTCATGATGCTTCTCACTTAGCAGGGAAGTACGTAGTTTGTCCCTTTTTTTTTTTTTTTTTTATTGTTTTGGGATCACATTACCCAAAGTAATTTAGGTATCTTATTAGAATAAGAATAATAGCATTTTTCTTCAAGCTGTTTGAAGCATAATTCTTGAATACTAATGAATACATCATTAATCAGTATTTAAATAAAAAGATTGTGATTCATGTTAAACAAAATAGTATTAATACGTAAAAAACAGTCATTAATAATAAAAGCCATCTTTGAGTTACTGGAATGACGAACCGTGTTTAGTGTCAAGTGTTTTTCCTCCATTTTCCTCAATAAATTTATTATTTTTGCAATACCTTTCCTTAATTTTTGTAAGTAGTAGCCTTATATTTTACTAACTTTTGTCAAAACAATTTTCTATGAGACTAACCTTACTACTAGATAGGTTAGTTTACCTAGGTCTCGTTATTAAGTGAATAATTTCATAAAATTAAATAGTTGTTTATATCCCTAGTCTATATTATTATTAACCATTTTCAACTATTTTATCTTTAAATAGTCAAGTAGGCAATAAACTGAAGAGAAAAAAAAGTGGAAACTTCAAAATTTACTTATAGAAAAAAAATCTGTAACTGTTGTGTTCATTTGCCATTAATTTTTCCATTTTTCTTAACAAACCGATTATTTTCGTAATACTTTTCCTAGATTATTGTATGTAGTTGACTTATATTTTTCTAACTTTGGTCTAAACGATTTTCAGGCACTAGGAAGTAATTATTATATCTCAGTTTTTCTCTTGATGCCCAATATTATAAATGACAATGTCCAAATAAGCATATCTATGCTGTTTCTTTGTTTACAACTGAGCTAAATTGGTATCAGCAACGATAAGTAATGATTGAACGTGTAAGGGTCTTCATGATCAAAGCGATCGCTGGCAATCTTGGCACTTCTTGTGACGTTCATTCATGAATTACTGTGTAGGGTCCGCTTTAAGTCTGATATCCTGTAAAAAAAAAAAAAAGAACAACAATCAAATGCAGCTTTGTTTCTTTAGGTACCACGCTAATTTTGTATCACATCAGGATTCCCATCTAACAAATATATATATATTAGTTATGCCTCTGTCGATCTTGCAGCCAGCCGTTTGAAGCATATTTCTTGAATACTAATGAATACATGATTCATTAGTATTTAAATAAAAAGATTTTGATTCTTCATGTTAAAAAACCTATTGCTTGTGTATGAATTGTGAGTTTATAGGGTGTCCTAAGTTTTTAGTAGCCCAACTCTAGGAGGTGATTCTAGACCAATTTTCCTACTAAAATTGGATAAATAGATAGATGTATTAAATTTCGAATGTTAAAGGAGTTATGTTCAATTTTGTCTTTTCTTAAAGTGGTAATGTTTTCTCTTTCATAAAAAGAGATGGTACAAAAATTAGTTAATTATATAGTAACAATTTTCTTCAGACACTAATAGAGTTTGTCATTGTCAAAACCATTTTAAGGGTACTTTTGAGCAACCAAACTACACCAAATAGTGTTTTTCATTAAATCATGGGTTATTCGTGATGTTTTTTATCATATTGCAACTCTACTGCAGATGTCCCACTTCTACAAAAATTTCTTTGTTTAATAGGTTTTAAATGCGTAGCGATTTATTTCGTATTTGTTTTAGAATAGAGTTGTGATTCACTTAAAAAAAAAATCTAGTGCGTGCTGCACTTTAACTTTCACTTACTGCTCAACTTTGAACAGAAATTATTTTCTGACCATGTTGGGCTGTTATAAATTTTTTGAATTACTTTTTTAACCGAGCTAAAGCTAAAAACTTACAGCTAACAATTCATAAATAGAATTAAAATAAAAGTCTTATTTATTATATCACTGGTTGATTATGGATTGTACAACTATTAGTTATTAAACTGTTACTTTACATTACAAAGTTTACTAAAATGGAATTAAGAGATTTGCATTGTCTGTCATAGACAGGTCAAAAGTTGTCACACGGATTGTAAGTGGATACTGTTGGAATATCACAAAGGAAAAATTTCTCAAATTATTTTTTTGTTTTAATTTCAAAAAGGTTATATGGTGATTTTTCAGAACAAATGGATGATAGATACCGAATTATTTAAATATAATATCAGATCTAGAGTTATTAAACTACAGTAAATATATTTTAGGTTATAAACATATCCATGAAATATTTTTATATTTCACTTCTTCTTTCGCACAAGTACAATGAAATAGTATCTTAAACAATGTCATTTCCTTGAATCCGTGGATTTTAAATACTTTTTCAAACTTAAAAAAAAAAAAATTTTAAAAGTTTACATTTAGTATGAAAATTTCAATTAATTTCCTTGAAAACAAGTGATTTATGTTAAATAATATTAGTTTGTAAATTTATTATTTATAATTCGTTCGCAATTTCGGGTTAACTTCTACAACCATTTATTATACGTATACCTTCTGACTAGTATTACCGGTGATTCATTTTCTACCTGGATAAGCATTTTTATTTTTTTCTCCAGTTTCCTGTTATCACATTCTTCTAAACTTCATATTTAGCCATTTTTTATATTTACTGTCAATTAAAGAGAGTTGAATTTTTTAAATAAACCATATTAAAGGTACTTTAGAGGTAGACATATATATGAATATTGGGCATTTAAGCCCTGTAAAGTGGGATCAATGGAGATCAGACCTAAATGATATTAAAGACTTCTTAATTATACAATGCTACCCTCCTTATACTACTCCAATATATAATGGTATTAAGAAACCTACTAAATGTTTTTAATCCATTAGGATTAAAAAAGAAAGGAATTGAAAGAATTTGTTCTGTTATGGCTTCTTATGAAAGAGAAAATGTTACCACCTTCAGGAAAGACAAATTTAGGCATAACTCTTTTTCCGTTTGAAATTGGCTTGTATATCAAATGAAACTTTTTTGTCGGAAATTTTGCCTAGAATCACTTCCCAGAGTCTGGACATTAAGAACTGAGACTCCCTGCATAAAGGAAGATGTTTCATAGAAGTACAATCTGTTCAAAATGAGTTTTTTTTACAAACAAGATCCTTTGCGAAGAAAGTTAGTTTTGAACTTATCTAATCAGTGGTAAAGGTTCGATACATTGTTTGTTGTATAGCTTCGTTAACAAGTATATCAATAAACAGGTGTAACTTGTATTTATGTAAAATACTAGTGAAAATTGTAGCTTATATTATCCAAATCGGCTGAAAAACAAACGATTATTGAAAAATCTGAGTGGTACAGCCAAGGAATGAAAGTTATGATCCACTATTTTATAGAAAAACAAGCAACTTTTTTAAGATGGTCTAACGCTGAACTCCTCAAGAATTTACATGAATTTTCTTGTGAATCAGGAGGTTTTTGAACTGCATAAAAATTCGTAATCAGTGGCCAGTGCTTTACTTTATACTGTATATTTGGTACTTACAAACTGTTCATTGAGGCCTCTGCGATTTTGATACAAAAAAAACAATAGTGCTACTCCTTACAGTAGTAATAGTATTAAAACAAAAAATAACAAAAAAACAGGCTCCTAGAAGGAAATTACAAGTACTGGAGGGTAATGTCAACAAGAAATATAGTCAGTCTATTTCCATTATTAAAAATACAGCCTAGGTTAGATAATATTTATTTTCCACATTTCTTCAGCAATTTCTTTGATTCCTCCTGTATTATTTCTCCGTTTTTTATTACATTTTCTTTTTACCTTACTTACCAGTTCAATTTCTGATCTCATATTTAAAAATTACTCTCAAATTATTAATATTTATTTGCCACATTTCTTCAGCAATTTCTTTTGTTCCTCCTGTATTATTTCTCCCTTTTTTATTACATTTTCTTTTTACCTTACTTACCAGTTCAATTTCTGATCTCATATTTAAAAATTACTATCAAATTATTAATATTTATTTGCCACATTTCTTCAGCAATTTCATTGATTCTTCCTGTATTGTTATTTCTCCCTTTTTTATTACATTTTTTTTTATCTTACCAGTTCAATTTCTGATCTCATATTTAAAAATTACTCTCAAATTATTAATATTTATTTGCCACATTTCTACAGCGATTTCTTTTGTTCCTCCTGTATTATTTCTCCCTTTTTTATTACATTTTCTTTTTACCTTACTTACCAGTTCACTTTTTTATCTCATATTTAAAAATTACTATCAAATTATTAATATTTATTTGCCACATTTCTTCAGCAATTTCATTGATTCTTCCTGTATTGTTATTTCTCCCTTTTTTATTACATTTTCTTTTTACCTTACTTACCAGTTCACTTTTTTATCTCATATTTAAAAATTACTATCAAATTATTAATATTTATTTGCCACATTTCTTCAGCAATTTCTTTTGTTCCTCCTGTATTATTTCTCCCTTTTTTATTACATTTTCTTTTTACCTTACTTACCAGTTCAATTTCTGATCTCATATTTAAAAATTACTCTCAAATTATTAATATTTATTTGCCACATTTCTTCAGCAATTTCATTGATTCTTCCTGTATTGTTATTTCTCCCTTTTTTATTACATTTTCTTTTTACCTTACTTACCAGTTCAATTTCTGATCTCGTATTTAAAAATTACTCTCAAATTATTAATATTTATTTGCCACATTTTTTCAGCAATTTCTTTGATTCCTCCTATATTGTTATTTCTCCCTTTTTTATTACATTTTCTTTTTACATCACTTATCAGTTCAATTTATTAATTTTATATTTAAAAATTACTCTCAAATTATTAATATTTATTTACCACATTTCTTCAGCAATTTCTTTTGTTCCTCCTGTATTATTTCTCCCTTTTTTATTACATTTTCTTTTTACCTTACTTACCAGTTCAATTTCTGATCTCATATTTAAAAATTACTATCAAATTATTAATATTTATTTGCCACATTTCTTCAGCAATTTCATTGATTCTTCCTGTATTGTTATTTCTCCCTTTTTTATTACATTTTCTTTTTACCTTACTTACCAGTTCAATTTTTTATCTCATATTTAAAAATTACTCTCAAATTATTAATATTTATTTGCCACATTTCTTTAGTATTTTCTTTCATTCCTCCTGTATTATTTCTCCCTTTTTTATTACATTTTCTTTTTACCTTACTTACCAGTTCAATTTCTGATCTCGTATTTAAAAATTACTCTCAAATTATTAATATTTATTTGCCACATTTCTTCAGCAATTTCTTTGATTCCTCCTATATTGTTATTTCTCCCTTTTTTATTACATTTTCTTTTTACCTCACTTATCAGTTCAATTTATTAATTTTATATTTAAAAATTACTCTCAAATTATTAATATTTATTTACCACATTTCTTCAGCAATTTCTTTTGTTCCTCCTGTATTATTTCTCCCTTTTTTATTACATTTTCTTTTTACCTTACTTACCAGTTCAATTTCTGATCTCGTATTTAAAAATTACTCTCAAATTATTAATATTTATTTGCCACATTTTTTCAGCAATTTCTTTGATTCCTCCTATATTGTTATTTCTCCCTTTTTTATTACATTTTCTTTTTACCTCACTTATCAGTTCAATTTATTAATTTTATATTTAAAAATTACTCTCAAATTATTAATATTTATTTACCACATTTCTTCAGCAATTTCTTTTGTTCCTCCTGTATTATTTCTCCCTTTTTTATTACATTTTCTTTTTACCTTACTTATCAGTTCAATTTATTAATTTTATATTTAAAAATTACTCTCAAATTATTAATATTTATTTGCCACATTTCTTCAGCAATTTCTTTCATTCCTCCATGATAAATATTCAAGACGCAGTCATTATAAAGTTTTTATCAGTGGTGATGTTTCAACCCAAACATGTGAGTCATCATCAGAGTGTGGTTTGAGCACTGAAAGTGCTTCAAGTACTGGGTACTGAGTACTTAAACACCTTTAGTGCTCGTATCACGCCCTGATGATGACCCACATATTGGGGTTGAAACGTCAGTACCAATAAAAACTTCATAATGACCGCGTCCTGAATATTTATCACCCATGATATGTAGAACAGTCAACAACTAACCTCCTTCAACAATTCATCTGTTTATTAATATTTATTTTTCACATTTCTTCAGCAATTTCTTTGATTCTTCCTTTAATATTTCTCCCATTTTTATTACATTTTTTTTTTTTTTTTTACCTTACCAGTTCAATTCCTTAATCTTATATTTCAAAATTACTCTCAAATTATTAATATTTATTTGCCACATTTCTTCAGCAATTTCTTTCATTCCTCCTGTATTATTTCTCCCTTTTTTATTACATTTTCTTTTTACCTCACTTATCAGTTCAATTTATTAATCTTATATTTAAAAATTACTCTCAAATTATTAATATTTATTTGCTACATTTCTTCAGCAATATCTTTCATTCCTCCTGTATTATTTCTCCCTTTTTTATTACATTTTCTTTTTACCTTACTTTATCAGTTCAATTTCTTAATTTTATGTTTTAAAATTCTCAAATTATTACATTTGCAGATTATTAATGGTTGTTCTGAAGCATTGGATTTTGTAAATTTTTTTTCTCTTTTTGAAATTTACAACTGTAGAAAAAAATTTAACAATTTCGTTTTTGATTATGAATGTCTTTACGAATTGGAATCACTGAAAGCGGTATACTTGACTAAACTCTGATTTTTAGACAAGATTGTATGTCTGATCAAGTTTGACGACTCGATATTTTTATTTATTTATATCCTTATATGTTGCTGTTATACAGTATACTCTTATTACATACCAGATATTTACGTAACATACTAAGTAATGTTATTTTTGTGTATGAAACATTATTTATGTTATTTTATATAATTATTTTGTTTTCAAGTATATTTTATCATATTGGTGTGGGGGTAAAAACTTTGTTAATTAATTCATAAAATCAGGAAAAGTGGAATGTATTCGGAATCGAATAACATTCGGCTGAAATTACAAAAAAAAAAAAAGGTCATCTAAATTGTGAATTATATTAATGAACTTAATAAACCTTCTATTGGCCTGTACAATAAAGTTAGCAACATGTGCAATTTTTCCTCAAAAGATGAAGATCAAGCAAACCTTCATATTTAGAAGGATGTCATTCTTGTAACTGGAGGTTGTAACTGACTTATAAAGAAATATAAACATTTAATATATTTACCTAAAAGATATGGAGTTATGTAAAGGTATTGTCAAGCATTAAATAATTGTAAAGCAAAACGTGAAGTTTTTTTTTTTTTATGAGTTGTGTGAGTTTGTTATATTACCATTTTAGAAATTAATTATTTTATTCTGTTTCAGCTGCCCTCATCCAGCAGTCGACTACTGTAAAAAATAAGGATATCCGAAAGTTCTTGGATGGTCTTTATGTCTCCGAGAAGACAACTGTTGTACAAGATGAATAAATAAGTTTTAATAAATTTGATACAATTTTCTTTTTTATCTTTCATGTGTCATTTTCCTATTGTTTTAATTAATTAAGTTTTGGCTTTAATAGTTGATTGCCAAGTAGTTTGATTACTTAATCATAATAATTAAATGAGAGCTTATATTTAAAAAAAGAGACAACATAAATCTTGTGATTTAATTAATTTCTTTAATCTTTTTTCTTGCTAAGTATAAATTTCAAAATCCGATGATTTGTTGTTTTTATATTAATTTTTAATTGCATTCAATGAATTTATTGGCACTATCCTTATAAAATGAATCATATAGTGAGTGGCCCGTATTGTGCAACCATAAATAATTAATATTAATATTTTTCAACGTAAAATGTCATTAATTAATTAAAAGAGTAAAGAAAAGTTGTTTGAAAATATTTAGATTAAATTAGTGCAAGAGAAAATTATTGTTCTTGTAGAAATAAATACAGAAATGGGATTTAATTGTAGAAAGGTAGGAGTGAGTAAGTGTTGTTGGGTCAGTTTGAAATCCCTTAGGATGTAAAACTCTTATTGAAGGATTGATCAAATGCAGCAGTATTATGGTAAGGGCTAGCTGTGATAGCTACGAGGTTGGAAGAGTAGGAGCATACATTGTAGGGATGAAGTTGAAATTTAAACAGAAGAATTTTAGAGGATTCATTCATTCATAGGAGAGTAATTTACATGGTGTAAAATGTACATGATAAGTATGAAGACTGAACTTGAACTGATTAATTGAACAATGAAGTATTTGGTAGTTACTTTGTTCATTTACTTCAGAGAAATCCCAGAACTGTATTAGCTATTTTTGAAAAAAGTGAGGATCAGTTGTGAAAAGTTCACTTGAAACAAAATCATTATTATCATTCCATCTGCTTTTATCATGTTTTAGTTTCCTCTTTATTTGGTTAAGGCATAATTAAAACATACTTTGTTGTTTGTATTAGTTTAATTTGACTGGAGCCTTATCTTTACTCACTAATCTGTCTAATATCACTTAATTTAATTTCTTAATAATGTAAGACTTACTTTTAGTTACTTAATTTTAATGGTTCTGATCCAGGAAACCATGTAGTTCTCATGCCTGCCACCAGGTACCACTATGTGTGCACTCCATTTTACTTTCAACACAAGTGAAAGTTTCAATACCTATTATAATGTTGTAGAATGCAGACTAAGTTTAATAAGACATTGTGAATACTTTTTAATAACAAAAATAAATGGTTAGTATATTGATCTAAGCTTAAAATTAACAGTAACTTGTACAACTCTTAGCCTTTTATATTTACGGATTAATTGCTTATTTAGAAATTTAAAAGGTGCTGAATTTTGTGTTGAAACGGTACCACAACTTAGTATTTGATTAAGTTTTATGAATGAAAATCACCAGCAATAAACAATTTTTACTACATTAGTCAAAAATTGAGATATATACTGCTCACAAATGAAAAGAGAAGTTGTTAAGTTATTTATGATTTATTTTCCCTAGAATTTTCATTTTAAAATGCGTTGAAAATTGATACTAATCAGATTTTATTTGATGTTGGGAAATTGTATAAAAGATGTTTTAAAAAAACCCAATAAATTAAAGGTTTTTAAGATTCCGAATTGTAAGAATTTTGTAAAATTTAATAATTTGTGTAAAATCTCGCTACTCCTAATATGCATATTGTTTATGACGCTAATTTCACGATAGAACATTGTTGCACTGCTTCCAGTTGCTGAAGGTTAAAAGGCTGCTGATGGTGGTCAGAAATCCTCTGCCATACATTCCACATACTCTCTCAAGAGATTTGGAGACAATGCAGGAATGGGTTGATATGGAGTGCCCCAATTTTCAAGACATTGATAAACATCTTTTCTCTTATGAGGTCACATTTTTTCATGAAGGAAATGGAAATCTGGGCCAATTATGGTTTTGGTTTAAGGGATGTACTCTTCTATAATTTGCTAAGCATAATGAACTGATGTGAGAATTACTGTCCACATTCTGGAGTAGAGTCCTTCCTCCTGAGTAGATGCCGTCCCATCTCCATTCAACATTAAATTGCAGCATACCCATCCCCTATTGTTCTCGAAGGCTCTTCAGCACCTACTATTTTGTAAATACAGAAATGTGACGCCTGAAAACATAAGAGCATTCTAATTTGTATCCTCATCTAGGTGCTCGCTCACATGAGTGAGAGCAACTCGCAGAGATGCCAGCGAGGCGTTGTTGATTCATATCATCTTAAAGGAGCAAAAGATGTTAGACTTATTTCCCACAAATGGTTGTGTTGATTTGTGCCTTGGGAGAACATTCTACTCTTCATTGAGGATCTTTCGAGTACTATGAAAATGGTTGCTTTTTGCAGTAAATAACAATATTTCTGACATCTATGGGTGTCGTAATGCGTTGATATCTACTAACTGGTACCCTATTGGTACTTCCAGTTTCTCTGGAAGCCGGAGAGACCATACTCAGGGAGATAGCAATAGCATCAGCGATATCCATTTACCGGTACCATTAATTCTCGCAATAATATTGCAAAATTCTGGTTTTTAATATGTCTTTGCACTGTTGAACACAATATTATTGTATTGAAATTGAGAAATGTATAAAACAACTATTGGTTTACCCAATGAGTATTCTCCATGTTGGCTATCCTTTAGTCAATAATTACTTTTGAAAATTAAGAATAGTTGTTCACTTTTTATGTTATACAAACAGGGCAGTTTTAATTAAAACGAATGATATGAGAATCATTCAGGATATCCCTATTCATTTTTGAGTAATTTATTTCTATAAATGACAGTTAATTATTATTATCATCAAAGTTTTATGCAGAGTTGAAGTGGCTTTATCCTTCTTACCATCTTAAGTATTTCCTAGCATCCTTCCTCTTTCAAGTTATCCAAGCCCACCGCCCCCCACACATCTTCAAGCTCCTATTCAATTCCTCTGTCTGTTCCCAGTCTTTGACAGATTGTTCATTATCCGATCCTCATCCCTATAGAACTCCATCTCTTCCCAATCCATCAATCCAATACCCTTCCTATTTTTAAATCCCACCTGTTCAATTATTTCTTATCCGTCCAGTCTCCATAAAATTGTAAATAGATACTACTGTAAATATGTATATAAATTAATTATTAGTCTGTTCTTCATTATTTTTACTTCATGTTTTTTTTTATTTTTATTATTAACTGATTAAAATTAGAAAGTAACTTATATATATATTTTTTTTACTATGACTATTTAATTACTCTGTATTTTTATTTATGTATCTCTGAGGCTCTTTAGCCCACATTTCTATCTTGCTTATTCTAAAGGGACTTGTCCCAGTATAAATAAAGTATTATTCTTATTATTAAGTTGTGAAATGAGATTTCTCTGAGGAAAACTCATGCTATCAAAGTTATAGTCGGCTAGTGTTAAAGATTTGGGTTATCCAAGTAAAGATGATTGTGTTGGAATTGGGATGTCAGGGGCTGTTTTCTCCTAAGGTCTGTTGAGGTTCAAAAATGAAATCATTGATAAATGAGAAACCATCACTCATCCAAGGACGTCGACAGAGTGTTAAAGTCTAAATCAAACCCAAGATATAGAAAAATCTGCTCCTTTAATATTATGGGACCAGAGGATTATCTACAGTTCAAGGCTGTAAATTTAAACAATAAGATCTGTTAGTCGTCTCAGAGTAGCAAGGATTTTGTGAAGATATTCTTAAAAGATGCTACTTTGACTATTAAATCTAGTGAAGTATGTGGTCCATGCAACTGCCTTGTAACTGACCCGGTGACTCATTTTTTGATTCAATGCATCAAATTTAATAAACCAAGAAATAAGTACTTGAAAACATTTATTACTGAATCCAGGGAAGATGTTATTGTAGAGGAGATATTGAAAATAGACACTATGAATAAATTAAATCAATTGTATTATTTCGTACAAGTCTGTTCATTGAACTGTTAAGTGGTATAGTTAATCATATAAACTATTGAAGGTAGCTAATCGACTGTTGCAGATATCATGGGTGATAAATATTCAGGACGCAGTCTTATAAAAATTTTATTTGTGCCGACGTTTCATCCCAAACTTGTGGGTCATCATCAGAGCTAAAAATTTAAAAATACAATTAGAGTTATAATATTACATTACTGATAATGGTAAATAATAAACTATAGTGATTGATGGTACATGAATCTTGACTATTATTACAATATATGTATATAATCTATTTATAAAAATTTGTAATATTTTCTTTTACTAACCGTGGTTCGGGCATTGAAGGATTTCAATTACTGACACATTTGGTAGGTAAGTGTAAGGGTTGGGGTAGGATTTTCCAGTTGTCCTTTTTCAGATAGCAAAACGTAGGTAAACATAGAGGGAAGGAGGGAGGTAATATTTCTGCTTGTAGAATGTAAATAATTTGCTGACTAAGTATTCAAGATGTGTACAAGATTTGCTTTATTTCTTTTGGTTAACAGAATTGTGGCTATTGGCTAGTAATAAAATATTGAATTGAATACGTAGTCAGAAAATTATTTACATTCTACAAACAGCAATATTACCTCCCTCCTCCCCTCTGACTATGTTTACCTACCTTTTGCTATCTGAAAAAGGACTACTGGGCAATCCTCCCCTGACCCTTACACTTACCTACCAAATGTGTCAGTAATGAAAGCCTTCAGTGCTCAAACGACAGTTAACCTGTTCCACTACAACCCATGAAGGGTCTGGGGTTCAGTACTATTTAGGGAAAGTACTGTTTCTTGGTCGACGGTTGTGGAAGGAGGTGATTTGACCTAGATCATGCTCTACCGCCAGGTTTTCCCCCTTTGTGCTCCCCTTTTCCCAGGTTTTCCCCCTTAATTATTTAATTAAGAGTACTCACTTTATAGAGGCTGGGTGTGCCCCTGGAGGGTCTCCCGACCCAGGGCCACCCCACGACCAATGAAACATATAAATAAATTTTCTGCTATGAGCCAGGGGTTCGAACCTAGGACCTTTGCATTAGAATGTTAGTGCCCTACCACTGAGATTCCCCACTCCACACTCCACATACAAATATTAACCACGGTTAGTAAGAGAAAATATTACAAATTTTTATAAATGGATTTTTAGTTTGTATAACTTTTTACATATTTCATTTTTAATATTGTGTATTGTAATAATAGTTAGGATTCATGTACCATCAATCACTGTAGTTTATTATTTACCATTATCGGTCGTATAATATTATATCTCTGATTGTATTTTAAAATTTTCAGCCCTGATGATGACCCACATGTTTGGGTTGAAACGTCGGCACAAATAAAAAAAAATGTATAAGACTGCGTCCTGAATGTTTATCAACCATAATCATATAAACATATATTAATGCTTATTTATATTGTTATTTGTTTTATACCTCTGGAATATTTTCAAAAAATTATTATTGAAAAAAAAATGTTTTACTAATTGTATGTATGTATCGTTTACTAATCTGTTATTATATTAGTCATACTTAATGCTTTAGACGTTGTTAATGTTAAGTTTAAACGTAGTATTAGACTCAAGATGTAACATTGTTAATAATTTATATTTATTTGTACAGGAATTTCCTTAGACAAATAAAATAAACTATTCTATTCTGTTCTACTGCTAAAGATTTACTATAGAGTTCATATTTTGTAAATAAATTGAAAAAGTACACATCGTGCCTTTCTAAAAAATTTTAGAAGGGAGCACATTTTGACAGGGTTATAAATTTTCGAAAAGAAAAGTTTCGAATCAAGACAAGTGGAAGCATGGAAAAGAATGCAGAATGTTTAATTGTGTATAATACATGATCCTTAAAATTTGACTTTCATTTGCACTGTTTTTAAGAATAGGAGAGCAATAAAATATCATGCAAGGACTGGGAGAATTTGTCCAGAAAAATGGGAGAATCATGCACCATCAATCTTGAGGAGGATGGGCACTCTTGTACTGTACAATCAAAGAAATTTTTATGGGCTGTAGTTTGTAGAAGAACTCTGATCTAGGCATTAGGTTTTTATTTTTCTAATATTTTATTTTATTTATTATTTTTTTTAGTCAGTTTCTTTTTGTAATGCTTGACATTTTAAAATTATTTTTCTTTGTTTTTTAGAATGAGAAAATATATTCTCTTGTTACATGTACTAATTAACATGCCTGTTATTATTCATACTATTAGAATGAACTTGAATTTATTTTTTTCCTCACCGATGGTTTGTATATCTTTAACCTCATTTACTATTTGATTCCTCCTTTCAGGTCCCCACTTGGGTTAGGAGATTTGTCTCTTATATTAATAATTATATTTTAATGATAGAGTCAACCATCAATCCTTGAACGGAGCAAGGAGTGCTAAATAATATTTTATTTTAATAAAAAAACTTTATTTATGTGTCTTGGGGATTTGCTGACCGTTTAAATTAATGTTTATGATTAAATACTATCCCTCTTCCTGATACCTCATGTGCCCTGCAGTAGCATCTTAATCAGACATATATATTTAAACGTATTCATTGCTGTTCGTGAAATAGAATTTATTTAAACAATAATTATCTAAAATAAAAAAGAAATAAATTGGCTCTTGGTTGATGAAGTTTGTTATGAATCGTGGACAACATTTGAAAAGTGGATAGTTGAGTTTGATTAAATGTTAAGCACTTTATTATGTTTGATTTCACAGCTGTTTTCTCATTGCATATTATTGTCTTTTAAGATCAATTAATAATTGACTGTAACAAATTTAGTTGTCAAAATGTGTCATCAATTCAAAGAGTAAGTACACAGCCATATTTGTTAATTTAGTGTATTTGATAGTCTACCATTCATTAAGTCCAGTTGGTTTGCTTTTGTCAGCTACTGGCAAGAAATTCTGTCTACTAAAGGAGCAGACTGGAATTTAGTTGTCTGATAAATATTTTTGTTGAACTTTAATTAAAAGAAAGCCATTTTGTAGGCACATGATCTTGTCGGTTTATTGAAAGTAAAGTATGTAAAGAAATTATAGTGGTATATTTAAGATTTTTCTTGCTGTACTGAATGGTTGGTAAAATAGCCAATTTTTATGTCATATGATAAGTAGAAACCACTCATTGACCGCACTTTACAGCAATATTAGAGTAAGTCATTTGTGGTATTAAAGGATGACTTTCAAATCGAACTCTAGTCAATATGACTTTTGATTGATATGAAATTAATTCACAGCAGGGGATTGTGGTGCCTGAACTGTTGAGAGAATATATTATAAAGCATGAATAATTTACTTATATTTCATGAGTTTTTCTCACTGCTTGAAAGTGGTTGGTAACCTTTTCTTTTAAGCTGACTTCAAACTCATCATGTCCAGTGGATGGTATACCCTGGGCAATGAATGCGAAGGTTGGTCCAAGAAAAGGATAATTTTTTAAGGGTCCCAATGAAAAGTCAAAGCTGCCAATGTAAATATTTAAGCAGCAAAATATAGTGGCAAAATCAAAACGATGAAGAATATTGTAGAATAAAACAAGAAATAAATAAAGAATACCAGTTCACACATTTATTATAATTTGAGAAAAATTGGACCTAAACTATCATAATTATTATTTAAACATATTTCATGTATTTTAAGGTAGATAAATTTCTCTTAAGTCGTGTATAAAACAATCCCAAATTGATATCCAGTTATGAGGGAGAATATATTTGATGCCTTAGTGTAGATGCTATGGAGGATGGGATGACCCAGCATGTTGGGACATGAATCCCAGAGCACTAGCGGATCCAGGATTTAATTTTAGGAGGACTTCAGCCCGAAAGTTGTTTTTTTCATAAAAATAACGATAATTACTTTGGAAAATAAGAAAGAAACTAACTACCTGTATGAAATGGTGTTTTTAAGTGATTCCTAAAGCCCTTTTAAATGTAATTACACGAACAATAATACTTTAAGAGATACTTTTTAAAATATTTTTTTCGATAAAATATGGTAATATTTTACCATTATGGGGGGACTTCAGCCCGAAAGCCCCCCTCCCCGTAGATCCGCCCGTGTCCCAGAGTGTCGGGTTCTGAACGTTATGGGTTCGATTCATTTGGGTCGGTTCATTTTAATGTCTCGGTGGCTTCGGAAAATGAATTTTGACATTCCCACTCTAGTGGCAACTAAACCTACACCTGGTAGTAAACACGGGGGCAACCTGAAGGCAGCCGTCAGGGATGGCAAAAAGGACCACGTGGCCTGACTAGTTCCTACTACCAGTACCAGTAACAGATGATTATATGAGTAAGCATTTGTAATGGTTTAACCCTGTTTCCCTCACTTTGCATCAATCGTTTTGTTTTTGTAAGCCAAGTAGCATTCATCCTTCCGTTAAGGATTTGTTGTTGGTATTGCAATTGGATTGAAATGTCGTCTGCGTGTGTAGCAGTCCGGATTGTATACCTTATTGCGGATATACTGTATGTAAAGCGCTGGTATGAATATAGAACCTCGATACGCTCCTTAGATTGATAGAAGTTGTGATATCTATTTGTTTAAAGAAGATAGGCTCAAGGATAGGGATTTATGTGTTTATCTGTTATTAAATTTGTATTAGTTCAAATAGGAAAATATGTATAAAAAATAAATCATTTTCAGCGGTCTTCCTCACTAATAACACCAGAAGAAAATTCTGTATCGTGTTGGGAATAATACCTCTACGGCATAGTCAAGGAGACCAAGTGGAACTAGTTAATAAAACAATTATGCAAGCTGTTTAATGACGAATTATATAATTTACAACGATTATTTATACTTATTAATACTACAATTGTTTCTACTAGAACTAATGTGGCATAAAATGGTTTTTAGTTACAGGACCGTTTTTAAACCTTCGAGGCGAGAAACGTACATGGAGCCTCTCGGACTCCATTACTGCGACTCTGGAACCTTGTTCACCCTGCTCAGCTCACTTGGCAATCTGGAGGCGGCCAAGTTACATGCCAAAGTTAATCAATACGTAAGGACAACCATCCATAACCAATATGAAATGGAAATTAAATTCTGTGACATCTAATCCCCTTTAGAATAATGAAATTTCTATTGGCATTTGTCTGGCATAAAATGATGATCGTGAGTTATTTAAATTGTAAAACAAATGACAGGCATAAATACGTATTGAAATCATCGATAGACTGGAATTTCATTATGTATTGATACAGGATTGATGAGATCTTCCTGTTCAAAGAATGGGCCGATATCTTTATCCTTTCTTATCTTCCAGCCATCTGCAACTATCACTTGATAGATTCTTCCTTCTTATTTCTTTTCTATGAGTCCTTGGTTAGTCCAGCGAATCTTTTGGATGGCGGTCCAATTTATACTTGCCCAGTTCTGTAAGCGGCACTTGAAGTCCTCCTGTCAATAAAATAATAATTTGTTCGAAAATCTTGAGAAAGTAACCATAACTTAAAATAAAATAAAAAAAACCTAATATAAATAATTACAATACAAAGTTTAAGAATAAGTTGATATTTATTTATTCCTCCCTTCCTTGCCTTTCGGCTACACGGGATTTTGCAGTGATGGCATATCACAACGTGTATGTCATTCCTGCTATTAAACGGCAAGTACTTTAACGATTTCGTTTTGTTTTTCAAAACTCTTATTTTCCCAACATTTTCTTCTCACCAGTTTGGCGGCCTTCCATTAGCAGGCCCTCTTCTTCCCAGATTAAAGTGTGAGGGCCCTAGAGCAGCTTTCCACCCGTATACAAAATCTTTGTAATACAAGTAGTTCGGCTCCGTCACTAACCGGGGAAATTCATCCTCCGTGAGGCCATAGACTCCAATTTTTTCATCATTCCGGCCATTGAAGTTGACTATGACATGCTCAGCAGTCTCCGGTACTCCGCAGGTGGAGCATAGAGGATCTATGTATTTTCCAACACTATGCAACTTAGCGCGGAAACCCCCATGTTCTGTAAGAAATTGATAGACCCAGTAATCAGGGAGAACCCACTTCGCATCCAAGCGACTTCGGGAGAATAAGTTGATATAATATTGAACATAAAACAAATAAACATAAAAATAAGAGGTAGTACCAGACCTGGCAACGGTAGAGATGGTCAACAGCTCCTCCGCCGCACTCATATAGCAGCACCCATCATCTTCATCTGAAACTTCTATTGTTATGAAAGAAAATATAAGTCAAACCATAATTATCATATAAGCGCTATTTATAAAATTGAAATTTAATCTTAGTAATTGTCCTTAACTGAGAAAGATTGTAATATTTCTTAATATTTTATTGATAGATGTTCTATTGATATGTTGTTTTATTGATAGATTTTCCTACTAATCTTCGGGTAAGCTAAGCCTTTAATATTATTATTGTTTCAGTTCTTTACAACTCTAGGAGCTGTTGGGATCATTATAGAGTGCGTGGCCTGCCCCAAATGCTCCAAGGTGAGAGCCATCGGCAAAGTAGAACTTGCCGAACCTCTCACGTTCAAGGTACGCCATCTGTTGTAAACTAACACCGATAATAATAATTCTGCAACACTGAAAACCTTTTTGAAAGTCGTAAAATATAATAAATAATAACAATATTACAAATTGTAATGGCATTAATTTATAATGCAATTCTAACATCGACAAATGAGCGAGTTGATTCCTTAGTAAAAGGTGGCAGTCATCAATCTTTAGAGGACGTGCCTCTTGGTGTGCTCATTGAGACTCAGCACGCAGCTGTCTTGGACACGGAACGAATAATCAGGAAGTTTTCAAGTCTGGTGAGCGCAACACACAACTTTCATTTACCGCTCTACATTGAATAGAAATTATTTTCTGGCAATGCTGGGCTATTATAAAATTTTAAGTGCATTTTAAACGGAGCTAAAGCTTAAAGCTTACAGATAACAATTCATTAAGACCATTATAATTACAAAATGTCTATTTAATATATCGACGGTAGGCAATAAAAATCTAGTCACTCCATCTGCTTTTATAAACCACACAACTTTCTTTGCTTTTATAAACCACAGAATGACTAACTCCAATTTCAACATTTTTTAGTAATGTCATTTTAGTGATATTTTTAATTGAAAAATTATCTATGCAGACAGTAAGTTGATTCCGGAGGTGGTGATTGCAGTGTTGAAATATAGAACTGAGAATAAAGGTATAAATTTAGGTACTTATTTCTTATGAAAGACGTTCTTAGGAAAGGTGCTTTATTAAACAGCTGTAGAAAAAAGTTTTTTTTAGTCTCAAAAATTAAAAAAGTATATTTTAAATTTATCCAAATTTTCGCCTTTTCAGGGAAAAAAACTAGTGACCATATCTATCCTCCAAATTGTCCGATTTTAACGATTTTTTTTTTGGTTTTTAGGAAATTCCATAAACTTAAAAAAAAAAGGCTCTACAGTCTATAGCAATGCAGGTTTTTCTGCCTTTTTATTTATTTTTCTCCTTTATTAACTTATCAAATTCTTTAAAAAGTTATATGTAGCATTTTTTCGTAACTCTGAATAATGCGAAATGATTAACTTTTTAAAATAAACCATATTAAAGGTACTTTAGAGGAAGACATATATGAACATTAGGCATTTAAGCCCTGTAAGGTGACATCAACGGGGATAAGACCTAAATGATATTAAATACCACTTAATTATACAATGATACACCGAGTTTAATCAAAATCGTTAGAGCCGTTTTTGAGAAAATTGTAAAAATGAGTTTCAGCGTTCATATAAAGTGGCATTTCCGGTTAGCCGATTTTAACAAAAAAGTTGCTGTCACATCCGGCGCATATACAAACCTTAAATACTTCATATCAGTTTCATACTACTTTTCGTTTATAAGCTAGACTGTTAACACAGACACACAGACCATTTTGCGACACTTGGTTATTTGGACTCAGGGGACCTCAAAACATGTATTTCCGTTGAAAACTGAGATTCGAAAATTTTCAGGATCGCAATACTTACCCTTACTATATATTACATATATACGTAAGTGAAAGTAAAAAATGAATATCTACGGTTTTTGTTTCTTATCCTTAATTCTGAATCTTCAAACGCTAGACAAATCAAATGGAAACTTTTGAACCGAAACCGAAGTTTCGATGCTGGTAATGCTTATTATATTTGCATTAACAAATCTCTCCATTGGACCCCATCAAAATTCAAATCTTTTTGGTCAAACCTAACTCAACTCCATTACAATAAACCAACACGTCATTGTTTATATCTTCCAATTGGCCTTTTGGGGCTTTGAAAAAGAAACAAGCTGAAATTGATTTATTTTACATCTCACGTTTTTAAAACTTTACCAATTGTTTTAACTGATGTTCCAACCTTTCTTAAGAACCAGCGTAATTAGTAAAAATCCTGAATTTTGTTTCTATTTCTAATATTATATTTTCTTATATAGATCTTCTAATATAATTCAACTACAATCAACTAGTGTATAAAGAAGAAACTCTCCCTTTCTGGCGTGTCCATATGGGGCTTCAAACCAAAGTGTAATTTCGTAAACATATCTCTTAACATGCACATTATATAATCGTGAGGATATAATTAGATGTAAATCTTGTTTTCAACAAAAATATTTTTTGGTCCCCAAAACGGATAGTAGTGTTTAATCTTTTCCTTTGAGTGTAGTATCGGCACTGAATGGATATATTTTACGCGATATCACTGTAATATTAATAATAGTAATCTTGTTATAGTAATATATATTTTTCTAATTTTAAGGACAAATGTCATACATTGCTGAGAATAAAGGAAGCTAAAGGTCCGATCAGGGTGGAAAAGGGACAGCTGGAAGGAAAACTTTTCTGCTACCTTGATAAAGTACTTAAGGAAGAATACAAAGAGAAGTTTCACAATTGTATGTTCTTTCCGATTGAGCACCCATTGGAGAACGAGAAATACACGCATTACTTCGGTTTAGTGAATTTTAAAGATTTTGAGGGCTGTGAAAACGTATACAATGGTATAGTGACTGAATGTTTCCGGTGAGTTTAAACTCAATAAGGTCGTTTATTCTATATTTTACTTCTTGCTTATAGCTTGATGTTAATGTTTTCCATTGAATTCTTGTATTCAATGGTTCAAAGAGTTAATGTTGTCCATGAACTCTTATTTAAATTCATAATCTAAGTTAGTGCCTGAAAATAAATAAAGTAAAATTACTAAAGTAAGTTGTGTTGAAACCGAAGAAAGTTCTCGTTAAGTTCTTTTAGCTCGGTCATGATGAACTCTACACATTGAGGATTCCACTAGGCGACCCTCTACTTCTTCTAGGGACAGGGCCATTGGACGTGTGGCACGACCTAGGTGACCGATCTGGAGTGCCAAGAATCATAGACAAACATATAAGAAATATTGAATATTCTTGAACAATGGTGTCAAAACTGGGGAATAAAAATAAATTTCGATAAATATTATCAAATTACCATTACCCTTCGTTCTAAACCTATGACTTCCTGTCCTATAGTATTCTTTAACAATACCCTGCTTATCCCTGTTGAACAAATTCGATACCTAGGACTCCACCTGGACAAACGTCTAACTCGGAATCCTCATAACAAAAAACCCCATGACGTTTCCGACTACTTGAGCAGTTACTAGACAAACGCTCTAAGCTTTCAATTATAATAAGGCCTATTTGGACTTACGGAGTTGAGCTTTGGGGGTCCTCAAACCATCGAATTCCACTCGTATCCAATTTTTACAATCTAAAATCCTTCGTAAAATCCTCAATGTTCCTTACTTTGATGCAAATAAAATAATCCTTAACGGCCTCGAATGTTCCATATGTTTCCAATTTGGGTCAATCCAGATACCTATCTTTCCATGATAAACTTCAGAACCATCCTAATCTTCTTTTTGGTTTCAGACACTGTTATGGAATGCTAAGGAGTGCTTTCAACTATGAGGAAGAAAAAGCGAATAGCAACCAATGCTCAGCCGTTTTAAAATCTTTTGTTGAAATATTGTCATGGGCAGGTAGCTATTTTTTTTCTTATTATAGAAAATGTCAGAGTATGAAATGTTTATTTTCAACAATCGTTTCCTTAAAGGAATTAGAAATGATTTTCAAAAATCATTATAATTCATGCTGATATTCTTTTAATAAATACACTAGTAGGCCCGTTCGAAAAATTCGCACAGCATATTATTATCAAATGCCAAATTAATAAGAAAAGAAAATAATGCAACGTATCAAAAGATAAAGGAACCAATTGTTACTTTATCGGTAAATATAATCGACAAAGGAAACAAAATTAATTTAAATCTTCATTTTTGTTTGGAACCAACATATTTACAAATTTCAATAAGCAGTATCTTTGCGAAACATTGTCCGATTTCAATGATGTTTTTTCCTTTTTGTAGACAATTTAGTAACGTTTTATATAATCATGGGAATAACACAGTAAAAGGGGTGTAATTTTTTAGTTATTCGCAAATCAAGTTTCTTTTCTTTCATAACTTGTTTGTCAGAATTTTCGGGGTGATTGGACTATTTTGCCCGCCTGAAGGAGAAGGAAGCCTTCGAAATCGGTGGCTCAATCTTGAGATTCGGTGAAGAATTAACGATGATATGGCTTGCCGATCAAAAACACCATCGATAAATAATATAAACTCCTCCTGTCTCGATCATAGAGGCCTCAAGTCGACGAAATGAGACATGTATTCAATGACAGTACTATTAATGTAAGGTTGTGTGGATGCGAACCCTATGCCTTGCGTTATCTCGAAAATAGTACGTTTTTGGGCTTAAAAACGCAGAACTATCCGGGTCTTGTTGAACGCATCAAAATCTTCATGTTCCAATTTGTCCCCTATCGATCTACAGACCTACCACCGTTCCAGTATTGAAGCCTAGAAAAATGTTTGTATCGACTTTATTTATTTTATAAAGAAAAACAAAAGTGGAGAATACGATTCGCTAACCCCTGTGAAATTCTGAATCCAATGGTACCCCATGCATGGTATTTGAGCATGACAGGAGCTTATATTTGGTACAAAACCGAGTTCCAGCCTTACTGTAATAAATATGTGGGGATTAGAACATAAGTTAATAGTTAATATTGAATAAAGGAATTTTGGATGGGTCCAAATTATTTTTCCGGTATACTGCTTACAATAACGTGAATATTCACAGGTATTGTAGCAATTTGCCGAAATATCTAAGAAATTCAATTTATAATATTTGCGTCAAATCATCATTGCTTTGATGATTTACATTCGAGAGAAATTGAATTTCGCATTCGTATGATTATTTTTCTATTTTATGTTAATACAGGGAGTAAATTAAGATGAATTTAATTGGACTTAGTAATTGAAAATATTTTAACTGTGATGAAAATTTTCAGGATCGAACGTTGTTTACAATAAAGTTCAGCAAGAAACCAAGGAGATCTTCAATGCTGCAAAATGCACTGTATTCATCCACGATCCAGAGTTTACTTTAGTTCCGAAAGCAGTTGCAAGCGGTAAGCCCCCCCTTATCAAGCAGGTAGGTATAAAAAAAAAAAGAAGAATAGTATGAAGTGATGAATGATAATAATATAATGGACCATTCCCTTCAGGCTAGCGATAAGGAAGGTGTTGTATATCACACAACTACCGCTGGCAAAGTGGCCAAGAAGAGGAAGCTCATCAACATACCGGTCGTCAAGGACGATCCCTTGTATTCAGCAACTATCAACAACCCCTTCACGGATGATTGTAGGTCAGCTCTTTTTTGTTGAGATCGTCGCACGGTCTGGCCGATAGCCTATTTAGGAGGACTAAATGCAATCATTGCCAACTGCTGTGACTTCAGAGAATAAAAGCAACGTTTATTCTAAATTATTAAAGCTTATCCTGATCCGCATGGGTGCGACTAAGTGTCTGCTTATCCAAACCTCACTAGTACTTATCCTAAAGCGAAAGTTTAAACACATTTTGATATTTTACTACAACATCAACTATTTATTGATATGATACTTTATAAAATTTTTCATATTTTGAAAAAAAAAAAAAAATGGTGCTCCTAGATTGGCAATCTTCCCCTCTGTGCGTCGGAATAAAAGTAATCAACTTATATTTTTATGAAAATAAAGATGTTTCCTATCTGCCTGCACATGAAGCAAATCTAATTCTCAAATTATAAATAGTCTACTAGTAATTTTTGATAATATCATGATCAGTAAAGTACAGTTTCGGTTGAGAAATGGGTCAATAGCGGACAACCTTATGTTTTCGAAAACCTCAGTCGATCACTTTTAAATCCCACTTGATGGTGTAATTATATTTTAATACATATAAGAGTTATTATTCCATTATGGTACTATCTAGAGTAACTTTTTTCTTGGAAAAAAAGTTTAAACTTTCCTGTTTAAATCTCCTAGATAACTTCTTTTTTTTGGAACTTGTTTATGGAAGAATATAACAATCTGTCTAAAAGGATATTTATAATAGTGTTCACAGATCATATTCACAGTCTATGTACAAAAAATAAAAATGAATTAAACAGAATAAAAAAATATATACAATATATAAGAATAAAATAACTTAAAAATAAAAACCTATATACACTATTTACAATCAGTTGTTTAATGGTCCTTCTGTTCCATACATTAGTACTCTGGTCTCAGATCGCTCTTGTGGAGGAATTTCTCCTCAAATCTCTTAATATTTCTTTCTGAGTTGTGTCCATGTCTTAAAATTGTATAATGTTAGAACTAGTTTTATGATAGTATTGTACACCCTCAATTCGAGATTTATTCGAAACTTCAAAATATTGAGAAAGAGAGAAGAAACCTCTGTTTCAGCTAGTTATGTGGTGATCTATTTCTGCCCGTCGGTCATTTTTTGAAGTTATAGCGGTACCGTCGTAGGATCTCGTAACCGTGAATGGAGCTATAGGCGCAGACTTCATGGGAGGATCGCCCTCTCCCTCCCAATAAAATAGAGAGGGGTCGAGAATATCGTTTCGTCCTTCTCCTCTCCTAATATTTCAAAGAACAAAATTAAATCAAAATGTATAATAATTAATCTAAATGAGTGAATAAAATATTTAAACTGATATCAATTCCATCAAGTCCATCGCCTCCCCAACCAGAATGAAAAGTCTGCGTCGATTGATGGAACCACTTGTTGAGACAGAATTTTCGCCTTTCCTATCGGTTAGTTTGTTTAATCTTGATTTAGTTGTAGATCTATTTGTTCTGCTTCACTTATTAGAGTCTTAGCTAATACCTTCTTCGTTCTTGGTTTCTCCTTAATCACGAAGCTTCTGGAAATGTGTATGAAGTGATTAGAGCCATCCAGAAAGGAAGAAAAAAAAATAAGCCATTACGTATTACTAGCAATTTATTCTTACGTTTAAAATAAATTAATTCTTTGAAATATAATTAAGAACTTTATGTTAAATATTATTTATAGTATTATATATAAACGTGATTAAGTATTACAATATTAAATTTAGGAGCCTGATGTCATTCCCGTTGAAACTGAATGGAAAACTGTTGGGGGTCATCGAGGTATACGACAAGAACACCCCCTCCTTGGTATTTACCGAAGACGACATAAGCCTAACGGAGCACTTCAGCAACATCGTCGCTTGCGCCATCAACGCAAACAAGATGTTTTACCATTTTCACGATCTCAAAACCAAACAGCAATTCCTCGACTGTGTTCTTCTTCGTCGCTTCAAAGTTAGTTTTAAACTATTAGGTGTAAAATCCGTAATGAGTTATTATAACCAACCATAAATATTTGCCATATCTGTTATCTATAAATCACACACGGTCTATATACAAGTCTTCTATTCACTCTTTTATCACAAGATCGCGACTTTATGGCCTTTATACCCCTTTTCACAGATCTATCCCTTTCCAAAATCCATCGTTGCCCGCTAATTATTCTGTCAAAGTAAATAATTAACTAATATCAGCAAAACATGAAAAAATACAAACTATTGTAATGATATTACTGGAAGATTCCTACAACAGAATGCAGACAAGAGATAGCCTGTCATTTAACCAGTCGAAATAAGAGTAACCAATTAAAACTAGACATAAACTCGATGGTTAAGAAAAGATGCTTTGTATATGCAGTACTTTTCATTAGGGAAAAAACTCATAAAATTCAATTAGAAATTTTTTAATATTTTTAGTGGTTTGCTGTCTCCATTTGGTTAGTCTTTTTGTGTACCTCTTGAGACTCACCGGGAACAACTGGCCATGACGCTCTATGAAAGGCTAAATCGTGTTAAGAACAGCTACTGGAGTAACTAAGAGCCCGCAATTGAACGCTTTAAAACACAAATTACTGTTACTAAGGCAGTAGAAGGTTTGATACAAATGAAAGGACTAGAACTAGCTGAAAGGGAACCTCTCCCGACATTGTCACAAGTTACAAAAACCAATTAGTTATGCACTGTGATTTTCCTCAGAACGTTTCTAAGGGCTCAACACCAATTTACTATCTAAAGGCTATAACATGAATTCATTTACTATTAACATGGAAACATACCGGAGCTGGAGTTTATTCAAAGGAGTATCAACTTGCTAACAAACATTGAAGGGGGAGTGAAAGCTTCTCTTAGGCCTTGAGAGATTGGTTGAACGGAAAGACAACAAGTTGCTTCCTTTGTTGACTCAAAGGCCTGCTTTGTCTCTCAAAAATGGATATAATATCAATCCTAATGTCCTTTAATGTCATGTGTATTTGGACCGATTAAAGGAAAATGGAACAGAAATCGCTTTCCAGTGGATTGCGGGATCCACGGAAATGATGAAGCTGACAAACTGGCCCGAATAGGTTCTGGAATGATCCAACCAGATATTCGTCTGGGCATGTATTCAACGAAAAGAATAATAAAACAGACCCTCCAAAGTTCACTAAAGGAGAAATATGCGCAAAAAAATTGAAGGGAAGTGATGGAGTGGATTGCTGGAAGAAAGTGGCAGGATCCCGGAAGACCTCCCTTTGCTCCCTTAAAGGGCAATGTTCACAGGGCATGATTTCCTGCAGAAGCACCTCCATCGAATCGCTATAAAAGATAGCCCGACATGTCCTCTGTGTTCCTTGGATATGATGACAGGAGAACATCTTGATACATGCCCTTCATTACAGGACATAAGATGTTCCTTTAATGAAATGGACGTTACTTAGGCATAGGGAAAATGGAAATAATTAAAAAAAATTATATAATATTGTCCCTGTTTTGTTTATTTACTGTTAAATCCAATTTGCCTTAAAGAACATATATTGATTTCTTCCATGAATTTCCTCAGGAAATTGATAATGAAGCTGTAAAGAGTGTCATGAACTGCCGGCACAAACATAATTTTCAAAGAATAACCGACTTTCGATTTGATCCAAGAGTGATTCCCGAAAAGCATGTTTTGTGCGTATGTCTAACCATTTTTGAATCCTCTGGTCTCATTAAGAAATTAAAAATCAAACATCAGACATTTGTCAGGTATGAGGTATTATTTATGTATCTATATATATATTTTTCTACTATATAATTTTTCAATTTGATAACATAAAAGAAACAAAAATAAACCAATCTACTAATTATTCTCGGTCAATCTTGTATGAATAAGAACTGAAGATCGACACCATAATGTAACAGAAGGTATTATTTTCTATTGCTTATTTTTTTTTCACCAGATCCTCATTAAAATTGATAAATGTTTTATTTCTTGAAGAAACAGTTTTCATGTAATAATAGATTGCTGTGATAACAATGTCATCTACTGCATGTTTGTAGCGAATCTCATCTAAACGATTTTTGAGAGAAGAAATACAGACGTATTTCAAAATATTGGAGAGTGATATAATTGAGTATTTATTTTTTGTAATAAATCATATATATTACCCAAAGTTACCTTAAACATTGAAATTTCCACAGTAACTCTGGCATACGCTTGGGATACCTCAGTTTGAGAACATCTGTACAACAAAATAGGAACTTTATTTTTATTGAAGGTTTTTTTTTTTCTCTATGCATTATAGACCTTGTAGATCGTTAAACGCCTTAATAAGCCTATTCCATCTCTAGCTATCTTGGGCTATTTCTTTCTAGTTTGCTATCCTGGGCTATTTCTTTCTAGTTAGCTGCAGGTAGCTCTTGCATTTTGTTGATTCTATGTACACATCTGCTTTTTGGCCTTTTACGTGGTCTTTTACCTTCTACTCATGCAGTCATGTAGAACCTTCCAGATGGATTACACTAACCTATATGCTCAGACCATCTTAACCACCTGGATTCATATCATGGGATATTGATTGACTAATTACTGCAAACAGTTGTTTATTTGTCTTTCTCCTCCATGTTTTAGTACTCTGATCCCAGATCGCTCCGATTATATTATTGAAGGTGTATGTTTTAAAATGTTTGTTAAATTATGAAAAATTTAGTTAAACCATAATAGGATTAACTTTTTTTTAAAATTTTTATTTATGATATTTACAACTGTATTAATATAAATACATCAAGCAAATGTGTACACAGAAACAAGATCACGTGAAATTTACAACTGTATTAATATAAATACATCAAGCAAATGTGTACACAGAAACAAGATCACGTGAAAACGCTTGCTGAGAAACTACCCACTGGTAGCACTCGAATAATATGTCTACAAAAGGAGATCACGCGGCCATCTACTTTTCAAACGCCTCAGAGGATTATCAAGAATTGAAGAGGTTTAGGATGGTTGAAGAGGTAGGAGGTTGAAGAGGTTTAGGATGGTTATGAAGTTTATTATGGAAAGATAGGTATCTGGATTGGGCCAAATCGGAAACATATGGAACGTTAAGGTCTTTATGGATTATTTTATTTGTGACAAAGTAAGGAGCATTAAGGATTTTACGAAGGATTTTGGATTGTAGGGATTGGATACGAGAGGAATTCGATGGTTTTGTGTAGCCCCATAGCTCAGCTCCAAATAGGTCTTAATATAGTCATGCATATGAGTCTTTTTTAATAAATTGGAAGCTTATATCGTTTGTCTAGTAAGTAATGGAATATGCGGAAACGTCGAGCTGTTTCTTCTATTCTAGTCTAGTATGAGGAATCCAAGTGAGGCATTTGTCCAGGTTGATTCCTATGTATCGGATTTGTTCAACAGGGATAAGTGGGGTCTTATTAAAGGATACTGTAGGATAGGAAGTCATAGGTTTACGATGAACCATAATGGTGATTTGATGGGATTTATTTTAATCCTCCAGTTTTGACAACATTCTTCATTGTGATTGAAGAGTTTGGGATGCTATTGATGGATCGTTATTAACTGAAAGAATAAATGTGTCATCGGCATACGTGGTGATGACAGTGTTAGGATCGGTTGGGATATTAGCTGTATAAACTGTGTAAAGGATAGGACCAAGGATACTACCTTGAGGAGTTAGTTCTGTTTAGTTCAGTATTTCAAATTAATAATTTTATAGTTTTTCCGCTTTGGGATGATGCTCAGAGGATTAAGGGATCTTTAGAACCTAAATTACCAACATATCTGATACCAGATGGAAAGCTGGTTCATCAAATTTAAACGAAATGAAAAAGTTCCTGTACTTTGGTATAGTGCTAGAAGGTAAATAAATGTTTGCCATTGGAAAGCATATGTCTAGGGTTAATTGGGTTCCGAATCTCCTTGATTCTCTGAGATTGTACAAAAGCGGAAGGAAGCAGTTGTTCAAAAATTTCTGGACTCGTGACTTGATGAAGTCCTACAATATAGCCCAAAACGTCGAGACATACTAAAATATTAAGTATTACACGTATTTTTCATTTTGTTTCTTGACCGCATTCTTCCCCACATACAGCTTCTTAACTAGAAACCTTCAGTACAATAAACTACTACCTTACTGTTTCAGGTTTTTATTAAAATTGAAGGAAGCTCATTCAGCATTACCATTTCACAATTGGACCAACTCTTTATTAACATTTCATTTTGTCTTTATCTGTGTAAATCAATATAATCTCATCAAAGATAAGTTTGTAACGTAAGTATCGAATGTAACACTATCATAGTCTTTGTTTAGAGATGGAATGCACTTGCATTATCCTTTGATTTATTATTTATTGGGATTATTCTGGATTTTTGTAATCCATTGCTAATAATAAAATTGTTGTTATTTCCCTTGAATAGAGTATTTGAATATTTTACCCTGTTGATGGCAGCACTGTGCCATGGCTTGGACCACAGGGGGCCGACTACAATGTTCGAGATGACCACTGGCACTGTCTTGGCCAGCCTTTATAGTTCTCCTGGATCCATCAGTCAAGTAATTATATATATAATATTAAGCAATTATATGTATATATAATAATAATATTTTATGTATATACAGACACATTCACAGTAATGACTACAAACTTACGCAAGTACTTACGGAACATGGGAATACAAAACAATATCTTAAAAGATTCAACATTATACAAACAGACTTATGCGATGAAGACGGACAGGTTCAAAAATTTAAACATATTATATATGACTGTAAACGATTTGATTTAATAAAAAGATAGTTATCAATTATGGAAATTGGCATGAGACGGCACAAAAGTTATTTACTGAATTCAAGACAGACTTTCTTAAATTTATTAGATCTATCGACTTCGACTTGCTTACCAGTGTAGGAGATTTCTTGTTGGCTCTGTTAAATTTACTTTCTGTGTTTAATATACTTGGTTCCGTTTTATTATTATTTTTGTGTGTTTATTCTTTATGTTTTTGTTTGTTAATGTATATAATTTTGAATTAAAGATTCATATCATGTAAAACTAGAAAAGAAAATTATGTAAAAAATTGTAATTCATGTAGTATGTCTTTAAGGCATGGAGCATGGAGGTGAATCAAATAAACGCTTCTTGTGTGGGGTTACCACATATGGAAAAGAAAAAAAAATAATAGATATATAATCTATATATAATCTTATATGTATATATATATATATATATATACATATATTTTTTTTATTTTTTTTTGTTAAGGGATTTTTAATTCTTATGGTTTTCTTGTTCTAAATATGTTCTTAAATATTTTTCCATTCTTTTCTTCCCCGATGCCCCACTAGAGTTTCTTGCACCTCATCTTTCCGCTCTTCTTTTTTACTTCCTTCTTTTACTTCCAATTCTATATGACGTGTAGCTATTAAATAACGAGACTGATTCTGTAAAAACATATTTTGATTTCATACATAGCTATTTATTATCACCTTCAATATATACCCCTCCTTTATCCCTGCAACGCTCCATGTGTATCTTTCATTCTCTGAGACAATGCTGGAAATCTTGCTCTTTAAGCCTATTCAGGACGCGAAATGCTTTCTCTTTCATAGCTTCACCAGACTTAAATCTTGTTCTTTTTAATGCAAATTAATGAGTTGTGGTTTTTTACTTACGATACTGGAACGAAGCGCCAATACATGGACTGGACGATCCCAATTTCACGGAGAGCCATAGGCAAATTAGGAAATCGAAACTCAAAGCAATGGTGAACGATATTCATGAGATTATTGATCTTCAGTGGGATAATTGTTGACTTGATTCCTGAAGGTCCAGACTATTGATTAATATTAGTTAATAATCTCAAACAACAATCTCGTTCTTGCCGAAAGAGAAACGTATCCAGAAAGAGCAGACAGAAGAAGACTTCTACCGCTGTTTCAATGTTTCCGTCATCATTCCCGTTATTTAATATCCACATCTCGTAGATTAAATAGAAGTAGGAAATATCTATGGTAATCTATCTGGAAACATTCTTTTAACATGTTCAAACTAGCTTAATCTTTTTTCTTCAATGTTTCCAAGAATGTTCCTTTTCAGCTCCATAATTCTTTTATTTGTAATTCTTTTCCTTCTGGATTTTCTCGCTGCTCTTTTCCAAAATCCATTTCCACCTCTAGCTTTTCCAGTTTATCCAAAGATTATATTTCGGATATATACTTTTATATTATTCCCCTTTGAACTGAAGTTGTTATATTTTAATTCCAGAGAATACCGCTGATCATTGTAGTGGCTTTTCTTAATTCGTCGATTCTCATTTCGATTTTCCTAAACGAGGTCCTTTATCTATTGAAGATTGACTCCAGATATTTGAACTTTATTACTTTTCCCAGCCAGCCAGCTGGTGTTTCTCAAGGTAGTATCCTAGGTCTTATTCTTTACACAGTCTATACAGCTGACATCCCAACCCATCCAAACACCGTTATTACAACCTACCCGATGACACATGTGTTCTATCAGTTCATAACGACCCAATAATTGTATCCCGAACCCTTCAATCCCACATCACAAACCTTGAAGAATGGTGTCAAAACTGGAGAATTAAAATAAATTCCATCAAATTACCTTTACCCTTCGTCGTAAACCTATGACTTCCTGTCCTACAGTATCCATTAATAATACTCCACTTATCCCTGTTGAGCAAATCCGATGTCTAGGACTCCACCTGGACAAACGTCTAACTTGGAATCCTCAAACCAGACTGAAACGACAAGAAACCGCTACTTCAGCACTTATTAGACAGACGGTCTAACCTTTCAATTAATTACAAAAGACTCATATACATGACCATACCTATTTGGACTTACGGAGTTGAGCTTTGGGGCTCCACTAAACCATCGAATTCCTATCGTATCCAATCTTTACCATCCAAAATCCTCGGCAAAATCCTTAATTCTCCTTACTTTGTAACAAATAAAATAATCCATAATGACCTGAATGTTCTATATTTTTCTGATTTGGCCCAATTCAGATATCTATCCTTTCATAAAAACTTCATAACCATCCTAATCCTTTCTTTTCTAACCTTGCTGTTAGGGTGATCCCTGATAACCCTCCTACGGGTCTGAAAAGAAAATGGCCTCATGATCTCCTAACTTAGATACTTTATTAGAGTGCTACCATTGGGTAGATTCTCTACAAGCCTTTTTATGTCATATTTTTCTTTATAACAAATTTGCTGAATGTATATTAATTTGTAGAAGGTAAATTTCATAAATAATAATAAATAAATGTAATGAACTTTACTATTATTTTAACACATTTTTCAATTAGGCTATCATCTGATGAAGATTTAAAGGTTATTTCAGATTTATTTATATTTCAGAAGCATCACCTGTCGCAAGCATTGCGGTTAATGACGTATCCTGACTGCAACATCCTCCAACAAATCGACAATGAAGAGTTTTATAAATTTGCTAAGCTTCTTGGTAATATGATCGAGGGTAAGTATAACCTTTTCTCAACTATTATTTATCTTAAATTACAAAAGTAATGTTTAAAAAAACATTATCAGTTAAACCAAGAATCAACTTGATTCTTAAGCAGATTAATAGTGAAACCATTTCGTAGGAAAACGATTTGTATATTTAACAGAGTTATGTCATATTAGGACCCCAATTGCAGATACTAACATGGCAAATCGCCATCAGAAGATGCAAGAATTGGAAGAACTGTTGAAGAACGGCTACAACACGAACTTGCCCGAACACAGAAGGCTCTTCCACTATTTGATAATAAACTGCGCCCAGACATGCTACGCCTGCAAACCCTGGCCACTTTGCAGGAAGATTGGGGTAAATATAACCCCACTTTATAATTAATATAAACGTGTAAACGTACATAATATATGATTTAAAAAAAATATATATAGTAAATTAATTAATAAATATAATAACATTTACTGTAACAATAATTAATAAAAATATTAAATATAATACAAATCTTAAAAATAATAATTAATAAAACATATCGCTTCTGTCAAAGGTGGTATGTTTTTTATTATGGTGGTTAATTTTTTTAGATGTCTCCTTGCGCTAAATGTGACAATTTTTAGTCTGCAACTACTATAAGTAGTCTGCTAAATAGGAAAAGAGCAGAGTAAAATAAAATATGAAATTATAATAATAAATCATAAGAAAATAATAGGTTTTTATTTTCTTCTGTAAAAAAACTAAATTTTAATATACTCTAACCTTAGGGATATTAAAAGTTAATAATAATAAACAACAAAAGATACCAATAATATTTATTATAATTAATAAATATATTAAATGTAATAAAAAATATTTAAAACTGGTAAAGGGACTTTATTTTCATTATTATTATTTTCATAAAAGAGTACTACCCAATCATATTGGGTTGTTATAGACACAGCATACTTGTCAATCAATACAATGGACAATTCTTAAAACTAATATACAAATATACAGTATCATCAATATATATGAGCATAGTTTTCTTTTCCCTTTTTTAATCAATTCTTATTTTTTTAATATATATTTTTTTAATTAACATTCTATTTTATTTTATTTCCCTCCTCTCTCCTTATACATTTCTCTTATTTTTTCCCCATATTTTCCCCTCTCTCTTTCTAATCTTATTCATACTTTCTGATGACAACTTATACAATGATGACAAGAAAAAGAAAACAACTGTTATTGCACTGTGGTACATCTTTCTAATGCTGTGTCTGGAGCCAAATCTAAAAATAAAATTGACACAGTACTGTCAGATAAAAGCAACGGATGGTGGAATGTGAAATGATTTTTTTTTTTAAATCTTGAAATGTCAAATCTCAATTTTGATGTAAAGTTGTTTGTTTTTTTTTTTAATTTCCAAAGTATAGTTTTTTATTATAATAAAATCAAATATCTCTTAATCATAATTGACACTGACTTATATAAAGTTGGGATCAATTGAAAGTTGATGTGCTTGATTTTATTAGTGTTATTTATTTATTTGTAGCAAATAAATTTATTTATTATTTTCTTCCTCCTTACTGCCACTAATACAGTTTATTAATTTCACTGTCATAAGTTTCCTGAAATTTTTAATGATACACCTTAATACTTCTACCATTTTTTTGTTTATTGTGACGTTTATAAGTAGCTATACCTATATTTTTAAAAATAAAATGTTAGTTCTTCATAAATATTTTACAGTGTAACAGATAAACATTGATTTAATGAAAATTATTAAAATTATACATACATTATAATTACGAATAAATAATATATAAACATGAGCAAAGTATAATAAATGTGGCCATATGTGTAAATAGAAAAAACGCTGCAAATTATTTCACAATTATTATTTCTTTGTTATTTCAAAACGATACATCTAAAGTAACATTACCTTCCTAGTTACAAAGAAAAATAAATAAAAGGTAATTCCAATTATTGGACTAAACTTTTTTTTTAATTATTAGTAATATGCTAAAAAAAACTGACATTATTTCAGTAACACATTCCAAAATTCAAAAACCAAAACAAAGGATATAACCTTTGCAGTAGAACATACAAAAAAAAAAAAAAAAAAAAAAAAACTAGATACCATATCTTAGCTCCTAATTGTCCGATTTTAACGACATTTTTTTCGTTTTTTAGGATATTCCGTAAACTTTTAAAAAAACATATACAATATCCATAAAAAAGTGTAACTTTTTGAAGTTATTCGGAATTTAATTTTACCATCGCTCGTAACTTTTTTCCAGCTTGTTTTCGTTGATATATAAATAAATTTAAAGGGCGTCGAGAAAATGACTTTGGCGAAGTTTCATTGAAAGCGGTACATTCCTTTATTGCTACAGTCTATAGCAACGCAGGTTTATCGGCCGCCATTCTGAAAGTAAAAGGCGGATAGTAATGTTGATGAAGGTGGATCATACACGGGTGAGCTCGGATTTTATATTCAATTTTTTTAAAAAATCTTTCCAGCAGTTTCGGAGAAAATACGCGGACGGCGGACGGACAAAAAATTTTTTATTCGTTTATCGAATTGAATCCTGGAACGTGAAACCTCAAATTTTGAGAGGGACTTAAGTTTTTGACTTTTTTGGTCGATCAGAATGGTTCATTATTGAAAATAATAAACTAAATGTTGCCCGAAATGTGAAAAGTAAACAAAAAAGCAAGGTGGACCATTAAAACGAATTATTATAATTAAGAAATAAAAAATATGAGAAATAAGTTTATTTACTGATTTCATTCTATTAGGAAGATTCTTTCCAAGAGTTTTTCCGAAAAGGGGAGCTAGATCAGGCCCAAGGAGTATTTGAAGTTCCCGATTTCAATGAAGACATATTGAAATTACCGGAGATGAACTGTCATTTCATAGAGACTGTCTGTTTACCCAATTTCAGGTAAAAACATTATTTTTATTTTACTATTTCATCATAGTAAAAATTGGTACCGAATGTGCCTATAAATTATATATGAAAAACATATATACGTATACAAGGTGTTCTGTAAGTAGAGGGAATTTTTTATGATTCCCGTAAAGTTCTTATAAGCAATGGGGCGTTTCTTAGCAGAAAATTAGAAAATCCAAGTCTAGTGTATTTTTTTTAAGTAAGTTATGCTTTGATGAATTGGAAGCGATAAATAAAGAAATATTTAATTTAAATAATTAACAATTATGTCACTGTAAACTTGATAAAATTTTCCTCAAATGATAGTAGAATTTGTCATTATTAAAACCATTTAAAGAGTACTTTTGAGTGGCTGAACTTAGCTGAGTTCTGTTTAAAAAAAAAAAATCATAAATTATTGGCGATTTTATTAGAGGATATTTTATTTATGAAAATTCTAGGAATTGGGGTGTTTTCAATCTGGACGCCCTTAGACTTTATCTATTTAATTAGGTACTAAGAACCCGTAAATTCTCATTGGCTTTCCACTTAAACACTTGAATCGTAAGATAACTTGAGCACAAAATAAAAAAAGAAGGTGGTCTTCAAAAATATTGAGCGTTTGGCCTATATAAACTCATTATTTTGACAATTTGTGGGTGTAGGTCACGCCAGACGGCTGACTGAATATTTTTGAAGACCACCTTTTTTCTTGAATTTATGCTCAAGTTATCTTACGATTCAAGTGGAAATGAAATGGTTATTTACGAGTTTCTAGTACCTAATTAAATAGACAAAGTAAATACAATATTTGTAGATTTCGATGAAAAGCAGGTCTTCACGAAGTTTCAGTTGGGTGTTAATAATTCGATAAAAAGAGGTCTGTACCACGGACTAATATATTATAAATATTATTACTTTGTCAATATATATATATATATATATATATATATATATATATATATATATATATTAAAAAATGCATATTTCATATTAATTATCTCGCATTGTTAATGTTTTCACTTGTGTCGTGAGGTCTAAAGCACACAAGCCCTACTTTTGTTGTTTTTATTTTAAAATAATTTCGTCTATTTCTAGAATGCTGGCTCAGATCTGTCCGCTCGTATACCTCTGTTTAGTAAAAATAGACATCAATCTTGGACACTGGAAGGAAGAGAAAGACAAGATCATGGCAACAATGACCAAGAATTTGGATGATGAAGAGGGTGAAGAAGAAGAAGACAACTTTTTTAGATAAATAATTTTTTTTAAATTATCTCTGTGTCCTTTCTTATAAATAATATGTTGAAATTTTAAACTAACTAAACTTTGCTCGCGCCCATAGATTGCGCACGTGTTCTCTAGTCTAAATGAGCAATATTGTTGCGGTGAAGACAGTCCAACAACACAGAATCGATAAAAACATGAATCAAAAGTAAGAAATACAAACGACATTTTTTAAGGCTTAGTTACATAGCTTAAGGCTATGTTCTGGGACTCTAGTGACCTAACTGCTGACAAATTCACTGAATGGAAGACTATGACAACTAAGAAGAATGCTAATATATAAGGAACAAAACCCTACACCATGATCTTAATATCCCATTTGTCCTAGATCTTATCCCAGAAAAATTCTCCAAATTTCACCAGAACCTTACCTATCATTCAAATCCTCTTGCACAATCTCTATCTAGCACCAACCATCCTTACAATCCTCCTCGCAAGTTGAAGCGGCAGTGGCCCAGAGACCTTCTGTGAATGAGCATATATTGGAGTTTTGGCAATGGCCAGATCCTCCACTCAAGCCAAGTATGTGTGATTATAGCGCCTCTCCTCAGCCTCTACTGGCTCTTAATACCAGGAATGCGGCTCAGTGCGAGGCGCTGGGATCTCCTTGAGTCCTGCTTTTCCTTCCACGAGTGGGGTGAAAGGCTTCGCTCGGAGTTCTTCTGAGTGAATGGATTCTGTAAATATTGTATAGTATGCATCTGTTACAGTATGTATCATAGTTGTTATTTTGATTAGGTTAATTCTTTTGTTTATATATATTTATTTTTATTATTATTAGTTTCTGTATTATTTATTTTTATTTATTGTAAATAGAGTGTGAGCGTGCTCTCTGAACACTATTATAAATGTACTTTCTTGTGACAGAATGTAATGTTTCTAAATAAACAAATATAAAAAAATATTTAAGGGATAGTAGAAGCTGGATTAACTGAAAATAATCTATTAATTACTGGGATACCAAACATATAAATTGCAGAGATCAAGATCGATTGCATCGAGAATAATTATCGCTGAAAAATCATCTGTCTAGGTAAGCTTTTCAATTAAAACTGAAAACTGAAGATAATGATAAACAGGAAATAACAAGGATAAACTGGAGGCTGTACAGTTGGATGTATACAAAAATGAGATCCGTAGGCGGTTTTACGTAATGTATAACCCCCAATGAATAAACCAACCTGTCTTGACTTGAAGCTCAGTGGGGATCCCAAGACGTTTTATATAGTCATCTTAATGCGCCATCTACTAGATATATATAATCTACTAGATTATATAATCTACTAGATTATATAATCTACTAGATATAATCTACTAGATTATAATCAAACATCTACCGTTAGAAGGATTTCATCGACTCGAACCAAGTAGAAATTATTTGAAACGAAGACAACAGACATTAGCACAGGATCAGAGTCGTGGAAATTGGGCTACCTGGAGCCGAATGGCCTAGTAGTCAATGGCATAGGCGTTAAATAAAAAATAATAATAATCAATAATCTACAAGTATCATAATTGACAAGCAATGACGAGCCAACAGGATTCAGCAACCTTCCTATATTCTTCACAGCCTATAATTTAAACATTCCATTCAATCAAGTCACACTAGATGTCGTACTTCCGACGACTATCCACCTCTTCACCGAACTGCTACATTTGACAAATCCTTTATAATTCAAGCCGTCTCTAATCAGCTTCCTCATTTAAATCTCCCCTTTTAGCACCTAATCCTTTCCCAACCCGATTGATCTTGAAAAGTAGATAAGAGAACTTTGTAACTTTCCCCAGATATGATTTTGTTTAATTACGTTATTTTATTTTCCCACGTTTGTATTATATATATATATATATATATCTGGATGTTTTTAGTGTTTTTGTTTTATTCTTCTTCCAATACTTTAATTTTAATCAGAATTGTTAATATTTAATTTAATGTATGGCCACACAGGCATTTTCGCTGTATCTATAATTTGTTCTAAATGGCTAGTAAAAAAATATTTTGATTTCATTTCAACAATTTTAGTTATTTTCTAACTAACATGGGAAATTTATTGGGGTTCAAGAAATTTCCATTTCCCTATTCACAACCAATAGGGCAACTTGGCACTTTTTTCCATGAGACACTCAGCTCTTCGTTCGTCTTTGGTCTTTGCTTGTTTCTGCTTAAAGGCGTGAAACCGTTGGGTCATCTACGTCTCCTTCTTTAGTTTTTTTTTTTTTTTGCTCTCTACTACAGAATGCTTGTAATTCATTTTTCTTCGTTTTATCTGTTGGTAAACCAGGCTCATTTTAATAAACCACAACGAGAGATGATAACAATAACGTTCGACATTTTCCTCCAGACAAATCGGTATTGTCTATATTTTGGTTCTGATAAACTTGCATTTGGTTGTCAGGGAACTGCTGGTGGGTCACTGGATGGTCACTGCCAAACCAACGCAATTAAGAAAGAGAAATAGACATCTGTCAAGGTTGTTCTGAAATGTATCAGCAAACTTCATTTAGAAGCGTATTTCAGGAGAAAAAAATCACATACATCAAACACTTGCAGCCACTTTATGCGTGATTAAGGTTAGCTTTAACGCCGCGTTTGCCTCAATCATGAAAGAGATGAAACAGCTAGAAGTGCTCCAAAAAGGAAGGTGTTATTAAAAATTCACTGTACGGCAAGTATTTTTTCAAACCATTAGAAAATAAAAAAATAAGTTTTTATTATAACCCATTTCGGTTCAAATGTTATCTTGATGTCTTTTAAAATATTGAGTTTATAGACTGTATGTGAATCACAGCCGTTATTATTTGCCGGGAATGTTAATTATCCGGTATATCGATAATCCAGATGGGTATCGATTTTTGTCTTTATAAATTAACCTTGTAATAAGAAATAACCATTCGGAGAATTATAAGCAAAAAACTGATTCCCCGCTATAAATTAGTTTGTTGTTATTCTCATACCTTACACGTCTTTATCGTAAAGATTATTTTAATTATATGTCCAGAAAGTAGGTCACGCAGTTAGACTTTAGGTAGTTAATGTCTCAAATTTACTGATTCTTATTTGGTTCAAATTTTCTATGATCACTTTAATTTCCAAAGCTTCAGAGCTTGGTTCCCTTCGTATCTTGCTTCTGTGTTATGTTATGGATTAACCTAAATCACAAATTATAAAACGCGTTTCAACATGTCATGTAAACAAGATCCTAAAAAACATTGGCGATCTAGGTGCTATAATTCGCCGATTAACTACATTGTCAGCCAATTGTGACGGAGCAATAGTTTGATTTTAATAGTGTTAACCTATTCAGAATGGCTCATATATGAAGTTGAGTAAAAATCACATGTGGATAATTTGCAACCAATGTTTATTAAAATTTATGTTTATTGTAGTTACAGTTAAAAGTTATCTAAGTGGCAGTCTGTATCTAGCCTGAGAATAGATTGAAGAATAACTTGGATGGTGGAAACAGGAGATGAGAATATGTGAGTATTCGGTTCGATGACTTGTTTATTTTGGGTGGTTGTTCCAAATGAGCGGTAGATGCTAATAATATAACAACACAGACATGGTAGGCATGTCTGTGTTGTTATATTGCTGTGTTCTGAGGGACCTACCTTATACTCGATAAGAATTCGAGATTTTCGGACAGAGCGATAAATTCTCTTGGAAGGTTGTGCATTCTCTTGTTCCAAAATACATGATTTTGATTTAATGAAGTGTTCATGCTTATTCAGTAAAGAAATAAATAATATAGTCTATTGTTATTGTCGGTTAATGTTTATCGGATTCATCGAATCCAACCTAAAGCTTAATTGTTTTGTGTTTCAATATAAGTGTTACTATGATACTTAAGATCGATTGGAAGGTATCAATGGACTGATTAAACAGGTGAATCTACGAGGGGAAGGGGGCTTTCGGGCTGAAGCCCTTCTTCCCAAAGTAGTAAAATATAAACATGTTTTACAGTAAAAAATATTAAAACTATCTCTTAAAGTATTCTTGTTCCTGTAATTACATTTAATACGACTTCAAGAACCACTTAAACACCATTTCATATAGGTAGTTAATTTCTTTCTTTTATTTTTCAAATTAATATGTGTATGAAAAAAAAAATGTTTTGGGCTCAAGCCCCCCCCCCCTTATTATTATTACTTTAGTGAGGATCACTAGCGGATCCAGGATTTAATTTGGGGGGGAGGGGGGAGGGGCTTCTGCCCGAAACCTTTTTTTTTTCATAAAAATAACGATAATTACTTTGGAAAATAAGAAAAAAACTAACTATCTATATGAACTGATGTTTAAGTGATTTCTAAAGCCCTTTTAAATGTAATTACACTCATAATTATACTTTAAGAGATAATTTTTTAATATTTTTTTCGATAAAACAAGGTTATATTTTACCATTTTGTGGGGAGGAGGGCTTCATCCCGAAAGCCTCCCTGCGTAGATCCGCCCGAGGTGAGGATTAATTTGTGATATAGGTATTCGTTACTTCTCTATTAAATTCCCGGAAAATGGATATATCGTTACTGTTAGTGCAATAGGTGGTATGAAAAAATTGAGTTGTTTTTTCACAGAACATTGTACCATTTCTTTATGATTTATTAGTTTAATTTCATGATTTATTTTCCTCCAAGATTTTCCTTTTTAACAGACTACTTATAGCAGTAGTAGACTACAAAATGTCACCTTTAGCGCAAAGAGAATAAACTAAATTTGTTACATACGATTTTTTCTTTGCGAATTCTCTAATTTTTTTAAATTTTTAATGCAGGTCACCACGTGATATTACAATATTACAAAAGAATTATGAAAAGAAGGCAAAGAAGTCGAGAAAGTTCGAATTCTTAAAGCTGCTTTATTCCAATCCACAGAAGTTGTTACATCTGATAAAGGAACTTTATGACGACAATACTATATTCCAACAAATAAAAGTCAACTTATATGTAAGGAGATGGAACTTTATTTACTTATTAGCTGGCTAAATTAGTGACCATAATTTATTTAACATCAGGTGCTATTATACCTCCGTCTGTATATAATATATAATTGAAAATAAATTAATGAATAATGGAATAACATATACAAAATAAATAAAAAAAATTGTCTATATGATAAATAAATTAAAGAAAAAAACATTTACTGACACTATTTTATAACGACAATCTTATAAATTCAGCGCCCCCAGGCAATGATGACATCATTATTCTATTTTTATCATCTAGTATGATTATAAAACTTTATTATAAAGTTTTACTGCATTTGTGACAAATTAATATTATTTCTCCTTCAAGTAGAGTATTGCATTGATAATGTCCTAATATGAGATAATAGAAGAATAAATGAAAACCATCTTTTTTATATTTACTGCTGGTTTGCCGGTAAGTTTGACTACTTAATAATATTTCTTACTTGTTCTATTAATTTAATAGTAAAATTAAAACATTGAGAATGGAGTAGTTAAATAGAAAATTGAGTTATTGTAAAGTCTATCAAGATGTACAGACAATGTATAATATAATAAAGAGTTAAAAACAGAGAAAAGGAATGAAAGGAAGGAGGGAAGAAATTGAGAAAGCTGAAATAAGAAATAAATAAAAGAAGTACTACCTGCCTCCTTAAGTGTTGCAGGGAGAATAAAAGTCGTTGCAAAGGAGGGGGAGAGAGAACAGATGTGTAGGTGGTGTCATCTCTAACGGTTATCCGACGAAGTTTGAACTAAAGCGCTGGAAGCGTAAATAGGTACGAGAGATATATCACTCAGAAAAATTATGGAAAATTGAACGAAAGTTAATAGTAATAGTAGTTAATAATAAAAGTTTCTCCCTTATTACTCAATAGTTATTTTTCTTTTGAATTTTTCTTTCACTTTCTATTAACTTTCGTTCAATTTTCTATAATTTTTCTGAGTAATATATCTCTCGTACCTATTTACGCTTCCAGCGCTTTAGTTCAAACTTCGTCGGATAACCGTTAGAGATGACGCCACCTACACATCTCTTCTCTCCCCCCCCCCTTGCAACGACTTTTATTCTCACTGCAACACTTAAGGAGACAGGTAGTAATTCTTTTATTTATTTCTTATTTCAGCTTTCTCAATTTCTTCCCTCCTCCCTTTCATTCCTTTTCTCTGTTTTTAATTCTTTATTATATTATACATTGTCTGTACACCTTTATCGACTTTACAATATCTCAATTTTTTATCTAACTACTCCATTCTCAATGTTTTAATTTTACTATTTATTTTCATTTCTTATATAACTTCATATTTCTTATTAATTTAATATATTTTGTGTACTTAAATTATTTCATTCAACTTTACAGCTACAGGCTGAGACTGGCTGTGCCCTAAGCTTTCTGATAGAGAAGTGCCTCCTGTATAATGAGCATGTTATCAAAGTGATTGGATCCAGGGAATTGGCAACTCACGTGAGATATGAAGTAAGTGATGTTCACTGATGTATCCATACACTTTAAAAGATTTTATCAGTTTCTATTAAACGATTAAGTTGGATGAGGAATAACAATTTTACAAATAGAAATAAACGATATCAAAAAGTATAACGGCAGTAGAGGTATTTATACAACCAGTGCCAAGTATTGTTAACCTCTTAAATGAGTAAAGTCGAGAAAATGATTTACGAAATGAAATGAAAATATTTTTTTATTATCCTGGGACTGTTGTCCGTTTAGGACAAATTACAGTTACAGAATAAATGTCTGTGTGGCCATACATAAAATTAATTATTTACATTTATTATTAAGATTAAGATTTTGAAAAAATAATAAAACAAAAAATATAACTATCACACTAAAAACATTCTGATATGTATAATACAAACTATATAATAAAATAAAATAGCACAAGTAAAGAAAATCATTTCTGGGGGAACTTTAAAAGTTCTCTTATCCACATTTTCTGATCTATCGGTTTGGGAAAGGAGTAGGTGGTTAAAAAGGAGAGATTTAGATGAGGAAACTGATTGTACATGTTGGATATCAGGAGGGATGGTATTCTAGAAGGAGACGGCTTGAATTATAAAGGATTTGTCAAACACTGCAGTTCGGTGGGGAGGTGGATAGAGGTCGGAGGTACGAGATCTAGTGAGACGGGATTGAATGGAATATTTCATTTGTAGGTTGTGAAAAATATAGGAAGGCCGCTGAGTTCTGATGACTTGGTATAGAAAAGGGGCAAGGAAGTACAAACGGCGGTTGGATGTATAGAGCCACTTCAACTTGGTGTAATACTGGGTTATATGTATATCTCTTGAGATTCCGTAAACAAAACGTATTGCGCAATTCATTAGGCGTTTAAGTTTGGTCTCGAATTCTTCCGAGTGTCCGCCGTACACCAGACAGCCATAGTCGATGTATGTTAAATGTATGTTAAATGTGTGTTAAATATGGCCGCATCGCTAGCACTCTCGATTTTAACGCAGCCTATGGTCCTGTAAGGTGTTTTTGTGCTGACTGACTTGCATGATAGCACATTAAGCATTAACGCATTAACCATCAAATAATAAACGAAGGTTTATATGTTTTATATGTTATGCATGTGTTGTTTTTTTTTTTTAGAAAAATAACGAATTTATAAAAAGGCTTGAAGATTCAGAAGGACCTATCACACTGATGAAGGAACTTTTAAACAAGGATTTATTGTTAGAAATGATTTCGATTTCATACGATTTCGGAATCACAGAAACAATGAAATACCACTTCTTCCCCATATTCCACCCTTACAGAAAGAACGTCATTTTTTATTCGTGCCTTGTACAAGATGCTAATAACAATAACGATATGGAGACCTTACATGGATACGTCGGTGAATGTTTCAGGTAAAATGGCTGAAATGTTGACTGCACTTTAATTTATATTTTATGTTGAATCGGTGATAATTATGAATCGTTCATATTCCATAGCAAAATTTGAAACTAGTATATCTTGCTCATTAAAAGAGGGCAGCAGTGAGGTGATATCCTTCCCTTACAAACATTCAGTTGATCTGATCAGGCGTGCTGTTAAACCATAGATGACAATTTTGTTTTCATGTCGCCGTTAATTTCACATTTAAAAAAAAAAATAATAAATGAAGAATAATTATTAAAAGAAACTAGGAGAGGGGTGTTGGTTTCAACTCATTTTCGCGATATACTTAGTAGTAGGCGAGCTATAGCTTTTGTTTCTGTTTATTTTTTTAATTTTCAACTGTCATTGAACCTGCGAATGTGATTACAATAAGCAAAAGATTAATTAAAGTAATATGCCTTTCTCTACAAATAAAGTTACTAATAGATTTTAATTTTGATATAGATATTGTCAGGAAATAATTGTTAACACAATGCGATATGATGAACAGAGACTATACCACTCGAAACAAAAGAAAATTTTGGATCTGGGAATAAGCAATTTGGATTTGATAGGTAAATACAGGAAATTAATTAGTATAATTTAATTCAAAGGGGAAACTTATGGTTTGCTAATCGTTTTTTTTTTTTTTGGTTTAACGCATACATATATCCTAAATACGGCACAGGAAAGGCTGGCCATTAAATAAGTAATCAACTTAAACTAGATATTTAATTTTGTTGGTCGATTTTACGATAATCCCACTGTATCCGATAAATGGTTAGGTAAAAGGGAAAAAAAATAAAAGGAAAAAAAAAATAAGGCACCTAATCGATTTCTCTTACCTTAAGGTTGAGAACAAAATTTAAAGTTGATATAGTCATAAAATACATGAAGTCATAAACGACATAAAGTAGATAAAGTCATAGGGGATGATTTTATGGATAATGGAAAGAAGCTTGTGTCTCTTTAATTATATGATTCTGACTATAAGGAAAAAAATCTGCATGACTGTTGGTATAAAGTGCCACTTTCTGTCAGTCGATTTTAACGAAAAAGTTGCTGTCTCAACCAAGGCATATACTTATCTTAAATACGTAATATCAATTTCGTACGACTTTTCGTTTTTGAGTTAGACTGGTCACATACACACCATTTTGTGGGACTTGGTTCTTTAGATTCAGGGAACCTCAACACGTGTATATCCCTTGAAAACCCAGATTCGCAAATTTTCGCGATCGCAATACTTTCCCTTACAATATATTACATATATAATAATAATAATAATAATACTTTATTTATTCTGGGACGAGTCCCTATAGAATAATACAGGAAGACAAAAATGAGGGCTAAGGAGCCTCAGAGATACATAAATAAAAATACAGAGTAATTGAACAGTCTTAGTTAAAAAAAAAAAAAAAAATATATATATATATATATATATATATATATATATACACATATACATATAAGTTTCTTTCCAATTTGGATCAGTTGATAATAAAAGAAATAAAAAAATAGATAAACAAAAGTTGGAGTACAAATAATGAAGAATGAACTAATAATTTATGTACATATTTTCAGTAGTATCTATTTACGATTTTATGGGGACTGGATGGATAAGAAATGATTGAACAGGCGGGATTTAAAGGTAGGAAGGGTATTAGATTGACGGATATGGGAAGGGATGGAGTTCCATAGAGATGAGGATCGGATAATGAACGGTTTGTCGAAAGCAGCGGTTCGGTAGGCCCATATGTATAAATCAGAAGAGAGGGAACGGGTATTGCGGGAACGAACAGAGGATTTGAATTGAAGGAGCTCGGAGATGTATGAGGGATGGTAGGATTGGATGACTTGAAAGAGGAAGGATGTCAGGAAATACTTACGACGGTAGGAAGGATAAAGCCACTTTAACTCCGCGTAAAGATGGGAAACAGAGGCGTCCCTTGGGATCCCGAAGATGAATAGTACAAAGCAATTTATCAAACGTTTTAGTTTCGCCTCGAGATTCCCAGGGAGGCCCCTATATACCGTACAGCAATAGTCAAAGTGGGAAAAAATTAAGGAAGTGACTAGGAGCCTTCGGGTTTCAAAAGGAAATAGGTGACGGGGGTAATTAAGACGTTTTAGGATGGAAATAGTACGGCGGGAAATATTGGATATATGATTTTTTCAAGAAAGCGTTTGATCAATGGTTATTCCAAGATTTTTGATGGTCGGGTGAAATTTGATGGGGTTATTATGTAGGAACAGAGTTGGAATAGTAGGAACAGTTTTAAGGAGGTGATTGGAGCCTATTAAGATTGCCTTTATCTTATCAGCATTCAACTTCAACTTGTTTGTTCTTGCCCAGTCACAAATTCTATCTAAGTCCTCTTGAAGTTTTTCTGTGGCAGATAATATGTCGGAGGGCGGAATGGAAAGGTACATTTATATAGGAAGGTGAAAGTAAAAAATCTGAACCACATTTTTAAAATCGTTTTCTTCACGTATGTCATACACTTTTTCCTGTCCGATATGAAATAACTTCCAATAAGTTTCCTGTTAAATAACATTTTTTATGACTGTTCATTTAATGTTATTTCAGTACCCAAACCTCTTTTACCTAATATCTTAATAATGACCTAAAGTAAATTATACGTCACGGAAACATATTAAATTAAGCTATTTTTTTTTTCAGATGACTTCACTGCTTTTTTACCTGTTGTAAGGCAGCAGATTCTCGAGTTATCGGAAGCCGAAAGATGTAACATATTCCTCTTGGAAGGTAACGTGCTAGTATCTCGCATATGTGATTATGGAGTTTCTTTTGATACATTTAGAAAGGTATCTATCCTCACTAATTGTCTGATTATTTTTCGGCTAATTCTTGTTTATGTTAGCTATATAATATACATACATATATATATATATATATATATATAGATAGATAGATAGATAGATAGATATTTGGGTGGATGCCCAGGGCGTATGTCCTAATAAAACAAAATGTAAAAAATTATATCTCGTAAAAAATTCAATTTCTGTGGTCTGTTCCAAGTTTCCCCACTTGTTTTCTGGTTTTGAAGTATATCTTCCAAATTGAAACTTTACCAAAATGAATAAGTCGTTAAAAGTAACCCTAAAAAATTCAAAACCATGTAAAAATGTTTCTTCTCAAAAATTGTTATGATGCATCTTGCACCCTACTCCTTCGTGAGTATCTCTGCATTTTCTCGGACTGCTTGTTTCTTGGTCCAAAAAGCACGAGAGTTCACACAGATCTCTTTCCTTACTCCTTATCATTTTTTCATGTTTGCATCCTCCAAGAAAAATAAATGATTATTGTTTAATTTTAGGATGTGAAAAACGTAAGAATACCTGTCGGCGTGGGCGTATCGGGCACCGTGGCAAAAATCGAAAAGGGAATCAACTGCCTGGATCCCAACACTGATCCGCTTTACCAGAAGGACTTAGATGTCTCTGAAGGGCTCATTTCAAGGTCATATATGGAAAACATTAATAATTATTTTGATTTTTCTATATTAAGATTATTGCTGCCTTATTATTTTAATGATAATTACCTGTTTATCGGTAATTATTTACAAGCGGTACTCCTTCGGCCATCTTGGTTGAATCAAGATTCTCCCCAATGTTTCAGACAAGGTTAACAAAACCAGAAAGCGCCAATATTGCGGAGGGGTTGTCTTGTCACCTCCACCTCACCTCCTTTTTAAGTAAATGTAGAAATTATATCGTTTAGGTTACATATTACCCGCATTTTTTTTTTAAAGTTAGCATTCTTTCCCCACCATTTTCACTTCATAGGAAATAAATATCGATTGAACACCCATTCCAATTTCCATCTTATCAACAAAATATAATTTATGCTTATAGTTTTTATATATATTAATGTCAATCAAACAAATTTTCAGTCTAATGGGCTACATACTGTCATAAACAATCTGTTTCATTGAAAGAACTATTGCTATTCCTAGTTATTCCTGATACTAATTCGAAAAAGTACAGGGGTTTGTGATTATCATTGGTGGAAAACAAAAATTGAATTTGTTTTAACTTTCTTGTTAGAAATAATACAGTTGTAAATAAAGTGTCACAATTAAAACAAAACTTAAGTTAATCAACTTCTTTAATTTAGGATAAGGAAACCGAAAAGTATTAATAATGATAAATCTCGAAGTTAGAAAAACAAAAACAGGCAATATATAAACAGAATAATCATAAATAATATTAGAAATATATAATGAAAAAATAATTGATCAAGGTAATAGGTGTCTATAAATAACATCGAAAATATAAAGTTTGCTATACTGAAGAAAGAAAAAAAGTTTTAAAAAATGCTGCTAATATATATTGTAAATTTTATATTTGATAATTATTTGTAATGAACGTTGGGGGAAGGGATTAAGACAACCCCTCCGCAATAGTGGCGCTTCCTGATGGTGTGTTTTTTAAACCTTATTTGAAACATTGTGGATGACCTAAATTCAACCAAGATGGACGAAGAAGTACCACTTGTAAATTATTAGCATCATATCTTTTCCAAAATCTTTACCTTTTTTAACCAACTTCTATTTCCCGTAAAAAAACAACTCTTATTGACACAAATGCAGAGCATTTTTTAGATGCCAAAGGGAACGACTACATATTATCTATGTATCTGAAGAGGCAATAAAGAACAAAGGAAACTTTATAAGAATGCACCATCTGACATGCTTATGGTTATCTATCAAACTTTATTTTCTGTGATATGAGTTGGTTACGAAAAAAAAAATTATGTTCAAAGTTAAAAGATGATCATAAAAATAGTGATTTACCCCAAAAGGGAATATCATTTTATATATATATTTTTTTTATTTGTTTATTTAGAAATATAACAATCTGTCACGTGGACCATAACTATAGTGATAATAAAAAATTATGACTACACCTAATTAGGTGAACATAAAAGAATAAAAAAAAAGACCAAAATTACAACGATTATATTATTTATACTATTCAGTTTCCATTATATCTTCTTATCTTACTAACAGATGCTCCAATAGAAATCACAATAATGTTCATTCATCTCTCTTTCCTTAGTCATTCTTATCCCAATATTTCTTTCTCGACGTGGAACATGCATTCGTCGGTACTGACTCCATTTACAAACTCCGTAAGTTCCTAAACCCTTTCCTTTCTCATTTTACGTTTCCAACTTACTACCAGATACTTTAAAGTAAATTACAATAATGTAGAGACTAATGAATTGTTTCATTAGATCCATCTTTGGAACCCCCAGGCACTCCCACGTCTCCAGCTGGAGCTGAAGTGGCTTTATCCAACTTCCAGACGACAATATTTCCTAGGTGTTCCATTTCCAAACCTTGGCAACAAAAAAACCTTTTTACCTTCTTGGTAGTTTTATTCCCTGCTTCTCTGTACATTCTTTCAACACTAGATCCCAGCCCACAAACCTATTTATTCCTTCTCATAGAACTGATTCCTTTAAAAAAATTTTTTCTCATACGCGCTACCTTGTTTTGCAATTTTCTACCTAGTTCCGTAAGCAAATCTTTATCCTTAACCACATTTGAACACCATTTATTTATCCATCTCCTCAGAAATCAATCTTCCGAATATATGTAAGAGTAATATTTTATGTTTTTTAGAGCTCTCACCTCAATTTACTGTCTCCTTACCGGTTCCTGTATATTACCAATTGTTATGTGTAAACACACTCTTATACATCTACCTATAATTAAAATGTTAACTTGTGCTTTTCTTTATTTTATTATAAATAAAGCGATAGCAATGTTATTTAATCAACAATAAGAAAATTATTAACTTGTATGCAATTGTCACTGAATTGTTCATTATAATTATTCTTAGGGGCTGAAAGCATCGGAATAAAATTTACATTTCATTCATTCATTCATTTCATTGTTAATTCATCTGTCGAGACTGCTTGTGCTCCTCAAGGTAGTATCCTTTGTCGTGTCTATTAGATAGTTTATACCGGTTGGGATATCAGTCTATCCTAACATTATCGTCATGCTGAAGATATATATGCATTATTAGTTAATAATAAACACAAACCTTGAAGAATGGTGTCAAAACTGTAATTAAACTCCAATAACTCCATCAAATCTCCTTTATCCTTCGTTGCAAACCTAGTACTTTCTGTCCTACTGTATCCTTTAATAATACTACTCTTACCCCAGTTGAACAGATCAGTTAACTAGGACACCACTTGGGCACCACGTGGACAAACTTCAGCACTCACTAGGCATAAGCTCTAATCGTCCAAATAATTACAAAGTACTTACACGATGATTTTGATACAACCTATTTGGACTTACTGATTTGAACTAGTGTTGCTCAAATGCGAGACTAAGACGAATCTTGGTCTTGCTAATTCTGTATTGGGTTCGGTCTTGGTCTTGCGCAATAGTCTCGCACCAGTCATGCTATTAGCTTATTACTATAGAGATATTACTGTAAGTTTTTGGATAGAACAAACCTAACTAAGCCCAAATGAAAAATTAGAAGAGGTAAATGCTAAAGTATATTGGCTATACCAATTATTTACATGCCAAATATTATTAACTATTTTGCCTTAATTTTTATTCAAAAAATCGATTTTATTTTATCAGCCTTGGTGTTGGTCAAAGTGCAAGACCAAGACCGATTTTGGGCAACACTAATTTAAACTTAGGGACTATACTAAACCATCGAATTCTCCTCATACCCAATCCAAAATCCTTTGTAAATTTCTCCACGATCCTTATATTGTCATAAATAAAACCATACATAATCACCGCATTGTTCCATATGTTATCGATTTGGAACAAACTTTTTTTTCCTATTTTTACTTTCACTTACGTATATATGTAATATATAGTAAGTGTAAGTATTGCGATCGAGAAAATTTTTGAATCTTTGAGTTTTCGACGGTTTATACGTTTTGAGGTACCCTAAGTCGAAATGACCAAGTCCCGACAAATGGTCTGTGTGTTTGTATGTTAGCAGTCTAGCTCAAAAACGAAAAGTCCTATGAAACTGATATCACGTATTTAAGATAGGTATATGCCTTAGTTGTGACGGCAACTTTTTCCTTAAAATCGGCTAACCGGAAGTGCCACTTTATATCAACGCTGAAACACATTTTCACAGTTTTCTCAAAAACGGCTCTAACGATTTTGATTAAACTCGGTGTATCATTGTATAATTAAGTGGTCTTTAATATAAATTAGGTCTTATCCCCATTGATGTCACTTTACAGGGCTTAAATGCCCAATGTTCATATACGTCTTCCTCTAAAGTACCTTTAATATGGTTTATTTTAAAAAGATAATTATTTCGCATTGTTCAGAGTTACGAAAAAATGCTAAATACAACTTTTGAAAGAATTTGATAAGTTAATAAAGGAGAAAAAAATAAAAATGCAGAAAAACGTAGCTATAGACTGTAGCGCCTAAACGAATGTACCGATTTCATTGAAACTTTGCTAAAGTCATTTTTCGACACCCTTCAAATTTATCTATATAACATTCATCAGCGAAAAGAAGCTGAAAAAAAGTTACGAGGGATGGTAAAATTAAATTCCGAATAACTCAAAAAGTATACACTTTTTTGGAATGTTGTATATGGTTTTCTAAAGTTTATGGAATAGCCTAAAAACAAAAAAAAAATCGTTAAAATCGGATAATTAGGAGATAAGACTCTAGTTTTTTTTAATACGTTCTGCTGCAATGGTTATATCCTTTGTTTCGGTTTTTGAATTTTGAATGCGTTAATAAGGTAATGCTAATTTTTTTATAATGTATTTAAAATCCACCTAAGCAAGTTGATGGCATTGTTAAAAAAACTCTTTCAGTGTACTTGTGTGAGAGAAGAAATAAAATATAAAATCATTTCATGGATGTATAAATCATGTGTTTATAATATTAAATACATTTACTGTAGTTAAGTAATTATTTATTAAATTTTAAATTGTCTTATCTTTTTGACTGCATTCAAGGAATTGCTGTGTTATATATGTGTGAGATATTATATTGCGTTCCTGGCGTTTGAGAATTTAAAGAGAAAAAAGGAATTTTTTTTATTTTGGGAAAATGTTTATTATGCTATGTCTATTGTTTAATATGGCTTATTGTTGATAATTTGTAAGAGTATTGTTATGAGGGGGGATAAAAAAGAAAAAAGAAAAATATAATATAAAATTAATGTCCGTATGGATTGATAAGTATGCTGTGTACGAAGCAACCCTATGTAGTAGGGCAGCATTACTTTTAATAAAGTATTTCTCTATAAATAATTAGGTATTAAAGTTAATTTCAAAATATTGTCATATAACTTTTTAGAAAACTAAATTAGTAAATAATTCGATAGATCTTCTCTTTGCGCTAGTCTTCTACCATTTCATTGTACTTGTGTGAAAAAAGAAGTGAAATACAAAAATATTTAATAGATACGTTTATAACCCTAAATATATTTACTGTAGTTTAATAACTCTAGATCTCATAATATATTTAAATATTTATCGTCCGTTTATTCCGAAAAATCATCATGTAACCTTTTAGAAAATTAAATTAGTGAATAGTTTGATCATTTTATTCCGAAAAATCATCATGTAACCTTTTAGAAAATTAAATTAGTGAATAGTTTGATCATTCTTCTTTTTGCGATATTCCAACAGAATCCACTTACAATTAGTGTGACAACTTTTGACCTGTCTATGACAGACACTGCAAATCTCTTAATTCCGTTCTAATAAACTTTGCAATGGAAAATAACAGTTTAGTGACTTATAGTCGTACAATCCATAATCAATGGATCGAACAATCCAAAATCAACGAATCGTACAATCCATAATCAACCGGTGATATAATGAATAGGACTTTTGTTATTTTAATAGCATTTGTGTTTTTTTAGCTTTGGCTCAGTTTAAAATGCAATTTAAAACATTTTATAATAGCCTAACATAGCCAAAAAATAATTTTTATTCAAAGTTCAAAGAGTAAGTGAAAGTTGTGTGTTGCCCGCACCAGATTTTTTTTTTATCATTTCGACAGAATAAGTTTTTCCTCGGGTCAGGAGAGAGGGCAGAGGATTAGTCCTCCTCGAGCTGAATGCCCCCGTCAACAGCATCAGTTTACTAGGCAACGCGAGTATAACAATCACATTAGCAAGCGTCCATACCATCTTAACGACTAATCTCAGTTGAGTCTTAATGAACCTCTGTTAGGAAGCTTCATAAAACTATAATGGAAGATACTCCTTTCTCGAACAGGAACATGCTGAGCTTCCCGCTGATGCTGTACGGGAGGGTGTACGGCGTAGCGGAGGTGTACAACAAGACGACGAGCAACATGTTCAGCTCCGCAGACGTGAACCATTGCGAGTGCCTTGGCAGGGTCCTCGGCATCCAGCTCTACATGGCTCTAGTGACCAAGAAGAATCGGGACGATTACAGCCGGAGGAATCTTATCGATTTCTTCATGTTGAAGAATGACAAGGTAACTCTTAATCTTTTAAAGCAATTTTCAATAATGGTGAAAGAGTTTATAAATGCAGACGACAAGGTTGAGAGGTTTTAGAGGGTTGCAGTCAGAGAGAACACATAAATAAAAAAATAAAAAATAATTTTGTGCCAGAGTTTCGGCCTATGTTTTTCGCTTTCATCGAGACGAAGGAAGGTATAATTGTTATCTTGTCTTCCCTTAGCCCTGATGAAGGTGTGTAGTTTAGGCTGAAGCGTTGGCACAAAATAAAACCAATGTTAATTATTTGTGTGTTATATCATATTGCATTCCCCACCCAACTTCTCATCCATAAAGCAGTTTTCCTTTTTTATAGTTTATATTAGAGAGCGGATTAGCTCAGTGGGTAAATACTGATTTCCTGAGCTCAAGACCCTAGATTCGAATCCGGCTGAGGACTAGTATTTTTCATCAGCCGTGGATCGATCCTGGGTTCGGGAGACCATCCTGGGGCAACTGCCTCTATAAAGTGGGTACTCTTAATTAAATAATTAATTAAGGGAAAAATACTGTCGGTTGAATGAATGAATGAAAATATATTTTATTATTCTGGAACTGCTGTCCCTTTAGAACAAATTATAAATACAGATCGCATGTCAGTGTGGTTATAATTAAATTATATATTTACAATAAGAGTTAATTAACAAGAAAATTGTACATATATATAAGACAGACATAGGGAACTAAATAAATAGAAGTAGTCTCTGGGAGTACTTAGATAGTTCTCTCAGGTATACTTCGTAATCAGTCGGATTGAGAAAGGAGTAGTTGTTTAAAGAGGAGAGGTTTGAAAGAGGAAACTTATTTTACGTGTCGAATATCAGGAGAGATTCCAGAGTGAGGCGGCTTGAATTGCAAAGGATTTGTCAAAGGCAGCAGTTCGGTGAGAAGGAGGATAGAGGTCGGATGTACGAGATCTCGGCATGATCTCGGCCCAATCACCTTCCTTCGCAACCGTTGGCCTTCCTTACATAGTACTGAACCCTCGTCTCTTCATGGGTTGTAGTGGTACAGGTTTTTATTTTATTTTTGTAGTTTATATTATCTCCTGTGGTTGGGGTAACGGGTAGTATATGGTACAATGTGTTCCAGATAAGCACCAACAAAAATATACTATTAGTTCTACAAGGAATTTCCAACAATTTTTTTTTCAAAGCTATGGCCTGGCTTCCTTCCATTTCGCTTAATAGAGGTTTTCCCAACTTTTTGGTCAGAAATTGCTTTTCCTATAAAATCTCTTACAGCATTTGGACGACTGGAAGTAAAATATACCATTTGAAATGTCACAAATTATTCATTTAAAATACTGATAATAATGGGTATTATAAAGTTTTAATTAGACAAAAAAACTGATAACTTTTTCATCGTATAATAACTTGTTGATTCCCTCCATCAGTCCTCTTTATAACTTGAAACATTGGATTAAATAATAAGTTTGTTACGATATATGATGTTTTGCTGATGTATAAGATTTCATGGAAAGACAGACAAAATACTTTATGCTAATTAATTTTTTATTCATGAATAGATTTTTTTGTACACATAAGAAAGTTACACATAAAAACATTGTCTTCCCCGATTGTTGGCAGTCTGTTTCTGGTAGAATGTTCTCACTGGGCTTGGAAGGTGTTTTTAAAAGCAATTTTAGGACCTTGGGGTGCAAATGTGACATTTTGAACAACTTTCTCTTTAAACTTCAGTTATCTTAACACTTCAAATACTCTTTCTTTTATCAGACATCTGCAAGTTTCTCTGTTTAGATGGTTTATACAACAGGGATATCAACTTAGCTCATGACATTCCTTGGCCTACCAATGACATATCTGGCCTACCAAATGCTGCCAAAAACGCACTGTAAACATTAATTCTAATATTTTTTATGTACTCCTATGCTTAACATACTTGAAAACACTCTTTATCAAAATGAACCTCATGATAAACCATTAACTCCATTTATATTTACTTATTTTCTTAATTGTACAGTTCTAATGCCTGTTGTTTCAAAACCAAAAAAATAATTTCTTAGGCTGTGGAATGTAGCGAATTGCGCTTTGTCGACGAGTGCCAGATTCGACATGACTACCACGACTTAGTCGATTACATGTTCATCCCTTCCTCCATCCCTACTGAGCACAATATGTGTGCCTGCCTTCACATGTTCGAGGATCTCGATCTCTTGCAGAAGATGGGTATAAACCGATCTGCTTTCATCAGGTTCATAATTAATTACTTTATCATAATTATAATGAAGTTTAAATTCCAATCTATTTTATTTTCCAAATATCTTCTTAATTCAATCATAAATGGATATAATATAAAAAAAAAAACGTGTTCTCAATACGATTTTGAACTGCCTGTGTATTATATTTTTAAAATAAAGGAGTGAAACGATGCCAAAAGATCAACTTCTTTGATGACTTCAGCCTTATTCAATTTATGCACAGCATAATGTGAGGGAACACTTGATTCTTTCGACGTGGGTCAATCAATTACAATCAATTAAACTGTTGAATTCAATTAATCAAAATTTCAGTTTAATAAAAAATAATATCTTTACTAAACGATATATCGATTGGATGAAAAAAAATGTATTAAACGATATATCGTTTTAATAAAAAATATTTTCATAAGACGATGTATGCTTTAAATAAAAAAGAAATAAAATGCAAGAGTTTTTTTCCCTAATTAAGTACATTATAATAATAATTATACATTCTATATTAACAAAATCAATTAACAACTAAAGGCAAAATTGAATATTATATTTTTTAGAAACACTTCAATAAATACAATATTTTTAAAATGGGCTGAGGTAAGACGACATTTTTAATAATACCTTACTAGAATTATTTTGAAGCCTTTTTTCAATAAAATTCCATATTTTTTTGTGTAATTGTTGAATTATTGAAAATTTTTCAGATGAAAAATTTAAATTAGAAAATATATTACTTAATAAAAACGGTTATACGAATTTTTTAATGTTTTTACTTTCTGAATAGTCCACGGTACAGACTCCTTTTTATCGATTAATTAACATCCGCCTGAAATTTCGTTAATAGCTTCATCTTATCGTAACCTACATTCCGAATTGGGGCGTTTTCAATCTGGGGGTCGGCAAATTATTTCTATTTAATTAGATACTAAAAATTCATAAATTCCCATTCGCTTTCCTCTTGGATCTTAAGATAATGTGTTCACAAAATCGATAAAAAAGATGGTATACAAAAATATTGGGCTGTTTTAGCCTATATAACCTCGTTATCTGAAATGAAAATAGATTTTTATTATCCTGGGACTGTTGTCCCTTTAGGACAAATTATAGATACAGAGGAAATGTCTGTGTGGCCATAAAATTAAATTAAATATTGACAATTCTCATTAAAATTGAAAAATTGGAAGAAAAATAAAACAAAAACACTAAAAACATACAGATATATGTAGTACAAACATGTGAAAATAAAATAACATAAGTAAACAAAATCATTTCTGAGGGAACTTAAAATGTTCTCTTATCTACTTTGCTTGATCGATCGGGTTGGGAAAGAAGTAGATGCTTAAAAAAGGGAGAGATTTAAATGAGAAAACTGTTTGTGCATGTCGGATATCGGGAGGGATGGTATTCTAGATGGAGACGGCTTGAATTATAAAGGATTTGGCATACGCTGCAGTCCGGTGAAGATGTGGGTAGTGATCAGAAGTACGGGATCTATTGGGGCGGGATTGAATGGAATATTTTGACAAATTGTGGATGTAGGTTACGCCAAACCGCTCAATATTTTTGGAAACGTGCTTCAGTACTTGTTGTGAAGAACATAAATTTTGTCTTTATTATCATAATAAGGAATCTAACTGTTACTTAAATCTTTTTTCAGTGAACCCACTACTGAGACTATTGAATCAAAACAGTCTCATATTATGGTAAATAATAAGATTGTTTTATTCTTCAAAATTTTTAATTTGATAATTAAAAAAAAATATACTGAATTACATGTCTCGATTTTTTTACTATAATAATTTCGATAATGTTTTTGTTGCAGGTTTTTGCTGTCTGTTAGAAACAGACATCAGGTGTTTTCCTTCCATGGTTGGGAACATGCTTTCAACACATTACATTTTATCTACACTATCATAAAGAAAGAAAACATTCTTCAAACCGAAACTGTTTCGTACGTCTGTTCGTGTGATATTATAACTTATAAAAGTGGTAGATTTACAGGATAACAGTAAATATACAGGAAGTAGCTATAATAATATTAGAGGATATATCTACTGGAAGTAATGAACTGTTGGAAATTATTTTCTAAATTAAATTATTTTCTAAATTAAATGATCTTCCTGGCAACTTTTGCTGATGACACCGCCATTCTATCATCCGACTCAGATCCTGATATAGCATCCTAAAACCTTCAAAGACACCTGGTGTAAAACCTCCCTGATTGAGCACTGGTGTAATAAATGGGGAATTAAAGTAAATGAATCCAAATGCCAACACATCACCTTCACGCTCCGACGCAGTTCCTGTCCACCAGTACACTTTAATTCCATCCAGCTTCCTTCCTCAGACACAATCTGGCACCTTGGCTTTCCCTTAGACAGACGACTAACGTGGAACCCTCATACTAAACTTAAATGACAGGAAGTAAACCGACGATACGGACAACCATACCGGCTACTAAACAGAAAATCAAAACTTTCCATTGAAAACAAATTACTGATCTACAAGACAATATTGAAACCTATCTGGACTTACGGATTTGAACTGTGGGGAACAGCAAAATTTACTAACATCAAACGCATCCAATCCTTCCAATCAAAAGTCCTTCGAACAATAATCAATGCTCCTTTCTATGTAATCAACAAAACCCTACATCATGACCTCAACATCCCATTTGTCCTAGACCTTATCCCAGAAAAATTCTCCAAATTTCACCAGAACCTTACGTACCACCGAAATCCTCTTGCACAATCCCTATCAAGCACCTCCCATCCCTATAATCCTCCAAGAAGATTGAAACGGCAGTGGCCTCGCGACCTTTTGTAGATTGTATACATTGGAGTTCTGGCAATGGCCAGATTCTTCACTCAAGACATGAGTGTATGTGGCTAAAGTGCTCTCGATCAATCTCCGCTGGCTTTAGTACCAGTGACGCGGTTGAGAGAGTAGCGCAGGGTTCTCCTGGAGTTCCCTCGCCTGATTGTATATAGGTATGCATGTGTTGTTTTTTTTGCTTAGTTTTAATTTTCTTATTTTTTAGGTTATTTTATTTTATTATCTATTGTATATACTTTTGATTATTATTTTGTTTCTATTTATTTTATTATATTTGTACATATAGTGTGAATGTCATCCTACCTCACTATAACCAATGTCCAAGAGACAGATTGTTGTAATACTCAATAAAAAAATAAAAAATAATAAACAGTTTGGCAAGTCATTGGAGTAACTACTAAGTATCAGCTGTGCCCTAAGGTTGTGACTGCTCCTAATTTGGATTACCCGTTGCTGTTTCGTTCAAGATAACCAAATAGATTAAGAGGCTTTAAGGCCAGTTTCATCAAACTTGTTATAGCCGTTTTGGCGCTGTGTTATATCCTGGAGGAAACCGATTTTTTCATCTATTGTTTAGCCCGAATTACAGACAAGATGTCGGATATGGGGGGCCAAAATATAGGGGAAACATCAGTGCAAATTCATGGTACAAATCCAAAGACCAATGGCTGAAAATACTTTTTTTTTTTTAAGGAAGGAGATGGTCTGGGGTGAATGGTTTTCATAAACAGACTAAATAGTGGCAAAACTGTTTCATTAAAAGCCAACGTTTCGAACCGACTTTGCAGGTCTTCTTCAGGGCAGTGTGTTCAGCAAGGAGAAACTCCTTCTTGAGTTATAAGCGAAACTCCTTGCTGAACACACCTCCCTGAAGAAGACCTGCAAAGTAGGGTCGAAATAGCTTTTAATAAAATATTTTTGCCATTATTTAGTCTATTTGTGACCGCCACCGCGGACCATCTGCTTCCTTTTTTTCTTTTTTTCTCGAGACTCTAAAGGATCCTAATATCCGTTGCTAATATAAGGCATTTACAAAATTTTTACTTTCATTACCAAGTAGCAGTACGAAAGTCGTATGAATGAGAGTTATAAAATAAATGAAAGTTGGGAAAATAAAGTATCTCTATACTTTATTTTCCCAACTGTGCTAAATTTCAGGAATATTGAAGTTATGATTGATCTTGAACATCTGAATAATTCAATAAGATCGTTTTCAGAGATTTTCAGAATCGTTTCTCATTCTTTATAAAGCTTCATTCATATAGCAAAAAAGAGCATACTATTTTGTCGCCTTCGTGGATAGATGTGGAAAAACCAATCCCCTTTATTTATCACAATGGCTTGTATTTATAACTGTATTGTGGACATGGGACATCTTGTCATTTACATAATATTATCGCTTGATTCAGGGCAACGGAATGTTTCTGTATGCTGCTTGCGGCTCTCTGCCACGAGATGGAATATTGCGGTCCAACGACACCTTTTAAACCGACCAGTGGAAACACGTTGGGAAGCCTCTACAGCTCAGCCGGGTCAGTCGTCCAGGTACTTACTATATTTTTTTCTTTGTAAAAATTCATTTTAAAAAAAATTAACCTTGTGGAATTCAAACTTGTGTTTGATATTAGTTGCATAAATCTGACAGCTTTTGAAGATTTTAAGGTGGAAAAACTTCACATTTTAGTATACTACTTTTAACAAATCAGAAAAAATAATAAACGTTGTGAAATAAACATTTATATATTTGAAGAGAAGAATAGTTGGGGTGATCAGTCAAAAAAGAAGGCAAAAATAAATGATAATATTTATTTTTCATACGCCGACGTTTCGACCTGAAGTTCAGGCTTTCATCAGGGCTGTCTCCAAAAGTGTTGCAGGGAGAATGCTTCTTTTTTTACTGATCACCCCAACTATTCTTCTCGTCATTATCCACGACAGTGAACCATTTACCGATTATGAATTTATATATTTGTTTGTCGTGTAGTTTTTGAAATGTCCAAACGCACCTTTAAGAATACAGGAGACTGTAGAAGGACGTAACTTTGTCCGAGTATATGTATCTGAATAGTACAGAAATGGGTGAATGTGTGTTGTCCTTCTTTACAAGTCTGAAATGGACATAACATATGTGGGAGTCAGACTTCTTTTCACTATCTCCGGTTTTAGCCTGAGATAGTTTTGTTTTGTAGCAAGTTATAAGAAATACTTACTCATCTCTTTTTTTCTTACAGGTTATCTACTATTTTTACTTGTTGTGAATTCACTAAATCAATAACTTTATTATTTAGAAGACATATTGTTATTGTTAAGTACCTAAAACGAGAACTTCTGAAGGGTAGCGTTATTTTTATTTTCTCAGCTCCATGATACTTATGTTACAGTTCCATTCCATCGATCAAACAGTCCGTCTTCTTGGAGAAAGCAAGATCTCGAACGATATGGATTTGAAACGATTCAAAGAATTTCTCCTGCTTTTAGACGCGATGATATTGGGTAAGAGGTGGGAAAGGCTTCGTCTGGTTTGATCAAATTAGGATATACAATTTTTGTTTACAGGAATGGATTTGGGAAACCATGTCTATAACAAGAGTGATTTGAAGAAAATGATCGATGAGAGAAAGATTCTTAAAGTGGCGGCAAATCGAAGACACTATTTTGGCCTTCTCCTGACTTGCAGCGATCTCAGCGACTTTTGTAAACCGTGGCAGTACTTGGAATCTCAAGGGGTAACCAGATATTAACCTATTATTATTTCATACCGTAGATAATAGTTGCATAACAGTTTTCGCAGAACCATCATAAGAACATCGATTAAATCTTTCACCTGATCATGCACAAATTCTTAAAGTTAAAATATATAAAACTCAGGCTTCATTGGTACCTGTCTCTCCTAGATAACCATTTATCAAATTATTAAAATCAGCCTAAAACATCGTAAACAGCTTCATCTCATCGTATTCTACAACTATTTTATTTACAGGAGCGGGGAGGCCGAATAGGCTAAAGCGTGTGTAACAGTACCGCTAGTTGCCTGGCAACCGGATAACAGAGATTTGAGATGATATAAAAAGTACGAGTTCGCGTCCCGGTGCCGGAGGGGATTTTAAATTTCCCCGCCCTCACCCCCCGGCCCGGGAAAATCCCGTATAGCCTAAAAGGCGAGGTAGGGAAGAACAAAAAAAAAAAAAAAAAATTATTTACGAAAACTCTTGAAATTGGAGCGTTTTCAATCTGGAAGTCGACAAACTTTGTCTATATAATTGGGTACTAAAAACTCGTAAAAACCTATTGGCTTTCCACTTCGATCGTAAAATAAATTTGATTACAAAATCGATTAGAAAAAGTGATCTACAAAAATATTGTATCGTTTGTCCTATATAAATAATATAATTATAATAAAAGGCTTAGCGAACCCGAAGGTTCGATGCCGACACCACCAATCGCTTATTACATACCTCCCTCCACCGTTCGCCGTCCAACGCGATGTAATCACCTCAATTATATAAATTGGATACAATTCACGCAATTCGGCGTTGTGTGAACTTCAGTACTCGCCGGTTAACTCATCCTTCTTCGGTCCGAATACTCTAGGCAATACTTTTTTATTTTCAAAAACCTTAAGACGTTGCTCATCCCTTGATGTAAGCAGCCACGTTTCGCATCCATAAAAAACAGTATGTAGTATAATTGGTTTATACTACTTGAGTCATGGGCAGAAAGTCTGAAATACCAGCCCATGTTCTGGGAAAACGCCCCGACAACTCCCTCCTCATTATTACACGCCGGCACCATAGGGTCAAATTCGAATTGATGAGGCTCCTTAGGAAAAGGGAATTCACATGCTTCGACGAGGTTTATTGTATTCATGGTGATGGGTCAACAAGATATGCGGATATAGTTGCATCCTCCAGGACCGGAAAGTTGACACTGGTCTTAGATCCAACTGTTCGCTATGAGAGCAATGACCTCGATCAGGCCAGTGAAGTAGAAAGAGATAGGAAGGAAATATACGATAAATGCATCCCTTTCCTAAAAGAGAAATTCCGTGAGATTTCTAGAGAGAGAGAGAGAGGGGGGAGGGGAGAGAGTTCACAGTGAGAGGCCTCTGTTTTGGGTCTCGCGGAACGATTCCTAAAAGGACAGGGAGCTTCTTCGAGGAACTAGGTGTTGATGTCGGGGAGCTTGCAGTGTTTGCCGAGGGTATAATTCTGGACTCCCTTGGGATCATTCATCATCACATATAAGGTAATTAGGGGTTGATTATTGATATTTATTATCATTTATTTATTGATTCAATTTTAAATGATTTAACTAACCATATTTTTTTTGTCTATGATCATAGGATTATGTTACTTGCTGTTTATGCGTTCTAATTTTCTGGTTTTAATATTTTGGCATTCGAATATCTTTTTTTTTTTTTGTCTTGTAAATTTTAGAAATTTACATTGTATTACAATATATAAATTTTAGAAACATATATATTGTATAATTGTAATTGTGCGTATCGGTATATTATAGTATTGATATTGTTTATGCTGTGTGATAAGAAAAAAAAAATCCCTATATATATATATATATATATATATATATATATATATATATATATATAAATATATGATTAAGTATAATTAAGTGCTAAGTGCTATAAAAAAAAAAGATTGATGAGTATGCTGTGTATCGAGCAACCCTATATAGTAGGGCAGCACTGCTTTAAATAAAGTATTTCCCTCTTCTTCTAGTCTTTAAATTCCGGAATATTCGCGAGCTAAGTAGTTTTGTCACAGAAAAATAACAAGCATTTCCAGCCTTTACCACTCTTCAATTTCATTTTTTTTAGTTATCGTAGACACTAGATACATGAACTTCTCTACCTGTTCAAACATATTACCTTCTATAATATAATAATAATAAGCGATATTACCAGCAATATCGCCATTTTTGCAGCTAACCATATATTTTGTCTTATTTGCAGCAAACCATATATTTTGTCTTACCGTTTGTCCTTTATAACCTTCTTATTTTGACAATTTGGGTGTGATGGTCACGCCAAACGGCTCAATATTTTTGAAGGCCATCAATTTTTTGTCGATTTCGTGCCCTAATCATCTTGCGATTCAAGTAATAAGCAAATGGGTATTTCCGAGTTTTTAGTACCTGACTAAATAGACAGAGTTTGGCGATCTCGAGATTGAAAACGCCCCAATTCCGAAAATTTTCGTAAATAAAATTTTTGTAGGTTACAATAAGATGAAGTCATTTACGAAGTTTCAGACGGATGTTAATAATTTGATAAAAAGGGGTCTGTACTACGGAATATATGATTGCCATTATTTAACTAGTTATGATATGCGATTCAAAAAAATAATTCATATTATTACATTTGTATTGTTAGATCAAGATATGCGACGAATTTTTCAATAAAGAGATTACAAGTGAATGCTACGGACTAATCGAGTTTTCAGATATGTTAGAAAATGTCAAGTTGAAAAAAATCTTGCTCCAAATTCACTTCATGCAGACAATTTGCGAGCCTGCGTTCAGGTACATCAAATACATATTTGATTTGCCTAAAGTAATCTGCATTTGATTCAAAAAAATTTCCAAATAAACTTTGCAGCTTGCTGAACACAATATTACCCCGGACCGACAGGTGTTCCGAGTCCATAGAGTTCAACATGCGGACTCTCATGAGTGCCAAGGAAAAACTGATCCAGGCTCAGTTAGAACAAACAACATAGTTGGAAAACACATCGCGTCGCAACTTATAGAAATATATTTTTTCAAAATAGATTGTTACTGATTTACTTTAATTTTAAATATCTTCCAAGATTTGGTATTTTGCAGGATTGGAATTTTAATGTAGTATTCATCCAATACTTGTGTATATAGTATGTCTCACTTCTTAATGGCCAAACTCTGGAGGGTGATTCTAGATAAAATTTTCATTTGAAGCATGGTTCGATTACGAACGGCGATGGAGTTAAGACCAATTTTGTGTGTTCTTTTAAAGGTGGTCACGCTTTTTATTGAATAAGAAGGAATTGCTCAAAAAATGTTCAAGATAATTAAATTCTAAGTAAACCATCGTAAAGTAGATAATTTTTTTTTTTTTGAGAAAACAGTGATTAAATTTTCTAAGGTGTGATGAAAGATAAAAGCGACTACAGGTAGGTCTAAATACTAACTGATAGATACTGCTTCAATTACATTATCCATACCCGAGCAGCATATGTCTGTATTCGGGAAATAATTCGGTATAATGCTAACATTTGCGTTATTATACCTCCTGATAATCCCTTTTATCATTGACCGTAGTGAATTTATTTAATTTTTTCTCAAAGAATATTTTGCCTACTTTAGGATTATGTCCTCAGAATTTAATTATCTTGAACAGTTGTTGAGCAATTCCTTCTTGTTCAATAAAAAGCGTGACCAACTTTGAAAACACACACAAAATTGGTCTTAACTCCTTTTCTGTGGCTGCTTTATCCTTCATTTCGTAGCCTATGATACCTACATGCCCTGGGGCTCTAACTAATGGTTTGATTAACGTAATTTTTCTAACATAGCCAAACATTCAGGAATACGTTGTACTAGCGTATCCAGGATTTGATTTGGGGGAGATGGGAGAGGGCTTCAGCATGAAAGTTTATTTTTTTTTCATATATACAGGGTATTTCAGGATTAAGTAGCCAAACTGCAAAAGTGAACTAAGGACCTCAAAAAAAGAAAAAAAAAATTACTCTGAAGGTATGTCCGTAAACGCTATGTTTAAGAAATATTCACACCTGAAGATTTTCGTTGTTATGAATTACTTACGTTTTATGAAATAAATACAACTTATTTATATGTTCATGTTAAATGTTGTTCAAAGTGATTTCCTTGAGCATTAAGACAGGCTCGACATCTTTCTCCAACAGCAGCAGTTGCATAAGGGCACTGGATATGCGTTATTGTTTCACAAGATTCAATTATCCTTCTTCGTAAGGAATTAAGGTCATTGACCGGACTTGCTCAATCATATCCTATATCCCAATCAATGGATTGGCAGTACAGGACCAGTGGCTTGCCCTGCACGCTCTGCAGACCTGACACCACTGGATTTTTTCTGTTTGGGCTGACATTAAATATTAAGTCTATGCAAGTCCGGTCTATGACCTCAATTCATTGCGAAGAAGGATAATTGAATCTTGTGAAACAATAACAGATATCCATTGCCGTTCTGCCATTGCTGCTGTTGAAGAAAGATGGTGTGTCTTAATGGTCAAGAAAATTACTTTGGAACAACATTTAATATGAATTTAATGTTTATGTTTAATTAATAATATACATGGAACAAATAAATAAGTTTTCTTTACTTAATATAACGTAAATAATTCATAACAATGAAAATCTTTAGGTGTGAATATCTCCTAAACAAAGCGTTTGCGGACATACCTTTATAGGCATTTTTTTTTTTTTTTTTTTTTTTTTGAGGTCCTTAATTCATAGTTTGATTTTGTCATTTTAACTCTGAAACAACCTATATAACGATAATTACTTAACTAAGATTCTAACTATCTATATAAAATGGTGTTTAAGTGATTCTTGAAGTCCTATTAAATGTAATTACACGAACAATAATACTTAAGAGATAATTTTTTATTATTTATTCTATAAAACATGGTTACATCTTACCATTTTGTTGAGAGAGGTGGAGCTTCAGCCCGAAAAAAATCGAATAATTGAATTGCCGACTTCTTTTAGTAAGACTAACAGAAAAGGAATACGAGTGTGAAAAAGTTTTGGATTTTAAATTTTATTTGCCTCTTATATTATCATTCATCTTATGTATCAAATGATTTTTATCTAGTTTTTAATCAGTTATTAAAATTAAAATTTTAATCTTAATTTTAATTTTACTTCAAATTTACTTTAAATTAGTTCATAAATTAAGCATTTATGAATCAATTTAATAATTTTTCATTAGTTTTCCAAAAACATAAATCCTTATGGAGCCCTTCTACATTTCAAAACCTTAATTATCTCAGAACTTTAATTAATGGAGTCAGTATATTTCGCCTTTAAATGTCTCCGTGCCTCCTCCGTAAATACTTGTTAACAGAAATACAAGAATTATGAATCCATTATTGTTTACATTTTAATCAGCCTGGTCCTGTTTACAAATCCTGTAGGTTTGAATTTGTTTACATTTTCGGATAGCTTAGTATCATTCACTTTTCAGTCTAGTAATGTTTTATCTTCGATCAATGTGGTGTTATTATTTTTTTTTATTGAATAAATTGTTTTCTGTCGAAAAATATGGCGATATTAATTGAATTTTCATTCGTTGGTAAACATTGGCGAAGCCTGGTAATCTTGTAATGAAATAACACACAATTTTCTTATAAATTGACGAAAAATATCTAGTGCAAAACAAGTAAGTACTTTTCGTATGTTTTTCTTTTTCCATGTAAATATTAGTTTTTAATTTTAAGTCTGGACTGGCGCTGCAAATATTAACTCTATTAACACTACTGTGTAACTTAAGCCCTTACACCATACCGAAAAGTAAAAACATTTCTTTAAAAAAACTTAACCTTAAACTATGGGTAAATTTATTTTCTCCCTTCTCCATGTTGATGTATGTAGAGGGAAATATTTAAAAGTTTTATAGTAGACATCAAGATCTATAAAAAATTTCATGTAAAGAATTATTCAATTTCCAGCAGAAAATAAGGAAATTTAAGATTTGTGTTTTTTTTAAGCGAGTCAAATTTTTTTTTGAATAGGTACTAATAACTTAAAAAATATTTTATGAAAGTAATTAAATATTGCTCCATACCAAACAAGACAAAATTTTCTTTAAACGTAGGTAGAGTTTGTCCATCGTTAAAACTATTTAAATAGGACTATTAAGCAGACAAACACTAAGCTAAGTTCCGTTTAAAAATCATAAATTATTTGTGATTTTTTTTTAACACTGTTTAACTGTACTACATTTACTCCAATTTTAGGAAAACTTCCTCTTCATAATAATATATTAATAATAATAATAAAGCTTTAGATCCATATTAATTAAGTTGAGGTTTATTAGGAAAACTTTTGAGCACTAGCGGATCCAGGATTTAATTTTGGGGGGAGGGCTTCAGCCCGAAACCTTTTTTTTTTTTCATAAAAATAACGATAATTATTTTGGAAAAACAGAAAGAAACTAACTACCTATATGAAATGGTGTTTAAGTTATTCCTTAAGTACTTTAAATGTAATTACACGAACAATAATACTTTAAGAGGTATTTTTAATTTTTTTTCCCATAAAACATGGTTATATTTTTCCATTTTGGGGGGAGGCTTCAGCCCGAAACCCCCTCCCCCGCTCCCGTAGATTCGCCCGTGCTTTTGAGATTCACCTCAAGTTGTGTAATGAAATAATGTGATTTCCTATCTAGTCACTTTCCTTAAAATACTTTTATTTTCTGCAAAAATTATTATAATTAAATGTTTTTAAATCTTTTATTTCTTATTTTTCCGTGATATATAGGATTTATTGTAATACAAAAAAAATTATAAATAATAATTTTTTAAATATTTTTTATTTAAGGTAGTTATGAAATTGTGTTTTCCTTCCAGATTAGGAAATGATACATATTTATAAGTGACAAAATTAATCTTTCTAACCCAAATATTTATATTTTCATGAAAATGATTGAAGCTATCAGTAGGTTTCTTTATTTTAAACGTAAATTATAGTAAGAAGCATTAAAATTGTCACTGATAAATACATACCGATTCCCGTGACGGGGATATGGGAGAAAAGACACATTTTCATAACTAGTTTACTATAGAGCAATGATTAATTACTTAAATCAAATATTTTTTAAGTTATTGCTTCCTATTCAATAAAAAACATGACTTAGCTGTGTTTGTCTGCCTAATAGTCCTATTTAGATAGTTTTAACAATGACAAACTCTACCTTATAGCCCTGGAACCAGGGCCCAAAAATAGACCTGATCGCAGGCGAAGGTTTGAATGTAAATTACGAAAGTGTATGTTATTCTGAATACAAAAAACCTTGTCTGCCGTTCCGGAGCCGCTGCTTTCACAAATGGCGGCTGATTTAAAGAATATTAGGCCAATAATTTGAGAATCGAAACGAGAAATCCATTGCGAAAAATGTAAGAAAAATTTCTATATTTTAACTTGCATATATAGGTTTAGACATGTAAAAAACAAAATTGCTAACGCAGGCCACCAAGGGAAAACTTTTTACAGACAAAAAAGTCATATTTTTGCGATATTTTTGGGGGGTTTTCATCTATAACTCCTAAACGATGCATCAAAGCGAAAAATGAATTCTTCAATAAATTAAAGAACGTTAAATTTTGCGTCAAAACATCAAATACTCAAAATTTGATGCTCTACAATTTTGATTCTATGGGTTTTTCCTCTTAGGGAACTCATTTCCAAGTTACAGGGTCTTTTATAGTAATTTGTCTCAGTTTTTGACAAAATTGGTAAAACATAGCGTTGGTTGACCGTGGTTTTATACCTTAGCGAGTACCGAATTTTAAAGTTTACGTACTCGTTTGACACAAAATTTAACGTTCTTTAATTTATTGAAGAATTTATTTTTCGCTTTGATGCATCGTTTAGGAGTTATAGATGAAAAACCAAAAAAATATCTCAAAAATTTGACTTTTTTGTCTATAAAAAGTTTTACCTTGGTGGCCCGCGTTAGCAATTTTGTTTTTTACATGTCTAAACCCATATATACAAGTTAAAATATAGAAACTTTTCTCACATTTTTC